TAAAAATACAATTGAAAATTTTTACGTATTTTGGATTTTGGGTATTACTTTTGTTATATACTATTTTATAGTTTTATATCACATTTTTTTGTCCATGTCTATTGAAATTTTAACTAATTGTTTATAGACTGAGGTAAAATTTGATAAATTGGTCACTTTTTTAGTCGTATAACAACATTTTGAATTTTTCTTTTTTTAATATGCTGAATTTACAATTCTTTGATTTAATGTGAAAATATATCATTTTCGTCTCAACCAATATGAAATTCTGCCGTTTCGTCTGACTGACTCACACTTGAATTTATCACAGTCTCACACCAGTAAGAAAATCGCGACCGACTATAAATTTTGAGTCGCAAATCCTGCTAGTCAGACGAACTAATCCCGCCGAGTGGATCACGAGTAAAACGGCCCCGTCTGCCAGCTGAAGGCTGAAGTGAGCAAAAGACGTAGAAATGGGAGTGACGGAATAAAAATTGTATCCAGCAGCAGAAGCGGCGGCGGCACGCGCAGTTCATAGTCCATTAACGCCATTCTCGATGAGCTGCACGCTTAAGCACGAAAATCTCCGGCCGTGCAAAGTGCACACCCAGGAGAAAATGAGCGAAAGAATAAGGCAGAGAAAGAACCCGGACCGACGAGGTGTATCAATAAAAATAAATGCTGCCCTTAAGAAAGCCGCTGCTTAAAAGAGATGGAGCCACGACGGCACTTCTCTCTCGGGATTAGGCTGCTGGATATGAATCTTAACTTGTTCTTTGCCCAACCTATAGTCGTTGCCAGGGAGTTACAAAAGTTCGCCACTTACATGAATTTATTATTGATTTAGTATCGCAATATAAGAGTTAAATTTTGCTAAATATTTTATCAAAATATTTTTCAAAAATTCATTTTTTTTTTATCTGTAACAATAAGAAGTAAAAATCTGATGGAATATTTTATTTTGTTTTAAAAGAAAAGATACCTTGATTTTTTCATTTTCTAGTCGTACCAGTAAAAGCTTGATTTTCCGGCCATATCTTTTGCAATTTTTAAGCAAAGGTACTTGCTGGGGTGCTATTTGAGCCAAGTATTGCGGCCCTTGATAAAATTTATTTGATCCGACAAGGAGGTCAACGCTCCGGATATTTATCTGTCTGAGCACAGCTTCACTTTCGTTTTGCGCGAGTGGAGGTGTCTAAATGAGATAACGGGCCGCAGATAAATCGTGTTATGTGTGCCGGTGGTGGTTGTCCGCACGCGAAACACCCCGCCTAACTCTGTCAGTTGGATTCGCTCAAAACGCTCGAATAAATTTCCACCGTTTCCAGCACAATCGACGGATGAATTGACGCGGCGAGAGTTGATTAAAATCGCTAATCTGGATTAAATTGCGGCCCAGGCAGGGCGTGGTCGGTCGCGAATCGGATGGAAAAGAGAAAAATGCGGGTGTATTGACTGCTCGCTCGCCGAGAGTAATGATCAGCGTCCGTCTTTTTGCGCCGCGTACTTGAAAGATTGATTTGGCCGGTCGGCGCACAATGCACGTGTGCCCTGCAAACTTCCCACACACATGATGGATTAAATATTTAGCCCAAGGCCCAAAAAACCCAAGAGGAAAAGGAAAACTCATTGTTGGATTGAGATTGAGGAGATATTGATTGGCGTGTCCTTGAAAAAAATTAGAACTTTTTTGCTCTTTAAAGAACTTGATTGTTGGTGTGCGTGTGTGATTTTAGCAAAGTTTATAAATCAATAACAGGTTAAGAGTTCAGTTAAAAAAGTATTCTAGATAAAAACTTAAAGGGTAAAAAAATGAAAATTTATATTTTGGATGAATTTTGATTAAATTACGTTCCACTTTTGAATAAATTAAACATTTAAACAAAAAAATCATATTAAACATCAGATTAATTTATTTAGCTCTTTGTTTACTCTCTCTTTTAAAACTTATTTTTAGGCGTTTGCCGCATTTTGGTCAGCTGTATTATTCCAGAGCCGAGGTTTCCACAAATTTTGGCAAAATAGACATCAGTTGAATATGAAAACAAAAATATTTAGATAAAATGTAGCAAAAATGAACAAAATCTGCTTTGAAAGTGTTTGAAAGTGAACGTTTTGTTTATGAAAAATGATTTGAAGCGTTCCTCCCATAAAATTATTATTTAGTTTTCATTTTTGAGACACACAAAATAAATTTAAAATTAAATGCATTCTGTGAATGAATTCATTCAGCATAAATGGCGATGTCATCAATTAATACAAAATTTCAGATTTCTTAAACATTCTCATTTTTTTTATAATAGCTACTCGCCAGAATAAAATATTTATTGGAAATTAAGAATTAAAACAAATAATTGAAAACAATATTTGTTTAAGAATGAAGGAATCTTTTAAAAATCTGGAGATAAACAGTGACATTCAGCATAAACCAACAAGATCTACTGTAAGATATATTTTCCCCAAACAAAGAGACGTCCGTGTAAAATGTCACAATACAGCGGAGGGAGAATTTTGCAAGTCAAGCTGGGCTCCGCCTCGCAACAACTGACAGCGCCGAAAAAAAGCGTTTTTATTTTTTTCTTTTCGCCCCCAAAACATAAAACTGCTTTTGGAAGAGCGAGCAGTAAAAAAGGCGTCCGCTCTTCCTGGACGAAACAAAGCGGCGCGGAGCAATCAAAATGCACGCGCCAAGTCAATTGCGGGGCCGGATGGGATCATAGCCGCTGACTTGGCGAAATACTCGCATTCACAAGTGAGTGCGTGACGTCACATCAATCAATAAGCTACTGAGAGAGAGCGGTGCGATGAGAGAGAGTCTCTCTCTCTCTCTCTCGCTGCACCACGGACGGAAAAGCTGCCGCGCCCTCCCCGCCCGCCAGCCCCGCAGCGGAAAAACAGCGTGGGTGCGATTTTGTTGGATGCGTTCGGTCGGCCGGTGCGAGAGAGACCGGCTCGAGCAGCACTCTTTTCAGCACTGCAGCCAACGACTAATTAATCATACTTGGCCATCCGATGCATATTTCGCCAGATTGATTGAACAACGACGGGCATGACTGGGTGGATTATGAATTTTTGAATAACAACACACATTAAAAAAAGGAAAAAATTTTGACAGATTTTTAAATATTTAGCTTCTGTGGACGGCTGAAATCTTTTCCTAAACTATATTAAAAATCTGTTTGCTGGAAGCGCTCAATTAGTTTTGAAAAACAAACTTCTCTGGATATTTTCAGTTTTTGGAAAATTACAATGAAAAATCAATTTTACACTTTCAATTCAGTCCTTTTTCCATTTTTTAAATGCTTTCAATTTGCCTGTAATGATGGAGGGGTGGGGGTCAGATTTTCCAGTCAACAATAATGTGATGAACCAAAATCAATTAGAACACAAATTTTCCTCCATACATTGCTTAAATACTTTTCTGTTTAAATAATTTCCAAAATTGTAGATTCTGCAATATTATAAAATAGCAACTGTTCAGGTAAATTTATATGAGAAAAATACATAAATAATTAAATTATTATAATTTATTGTCAAGTTGGAAAAGAAGGACAAATTTTAACAAACGATTTCAATGTTTTTTCTTTTTATTACAAGAAAATTCCGGAAAATTCAATTATCGTTTCTTTTTTAGCTAAACCACAGACAAACGGTAACGCGCTGAACGCCAAAATGGTCCTAATTGCTAATTGCATCTATTTTATTTCAAGAAATTTTATAACAAAAAAATTAGAGCGTTACATAATTTTCATTTAATAGGATTTAAAAATGAATATAACTTAATATAACCAAAAATATACAATCAATAATGTCTTGAACATTATACTTATGCAATTGTCAGTGTGAAAAGCAACACTGAAAGAATCAAAAGATTTATTCAAATATTTTTTTACAGTATTAATTTATAAGGTTTTTTTCTTAATTTACCAATTTATTTGCTTACATATCAATACCCTTTTTTACGTTTGATATCATTTGATATTATTTTATACGTAATATACTTTTCTTGTAGAAAATTTAATCTTCTCAACAATAATTCATAAACTAAAGGTATTTGAAATAAAAAATAGTGTTAATATTGAAATGCTCTCATTTATCCTCATGAGAATCATCTGCAATTGAAAATTATAGGCACGACAAATAAAAATAATCTTTTGATGAAAACTCTGATGCTCAACCCTTAAACTCATAAGATGATGAGAGGCAAAAGATAAAAAAAAAGCATTCGGACTCATGTGCAAAACTTCAAGGCCGTCTTTGCAGGGGGGTGGCTCAGGCGAAAAAAAACGGGGGCGAGAGTCACACACGTGACAGGACGCACGCAAAAAAACTTCAAATTTCCTGTTCCCCAGCCCTGATGCAGCAACTTTGACTTTGTTTTTTGTTGCTTTTAGCTCTGTTGGCATTGCGAGCAGTGTTAAAGAGCAGAAATTAAGATTGATCGCGGCGTTGCGCCAAAAAGCCATTCATTTTTCGCATGCATGTGAGCGCCAGGCTTTTTCTCGGCGGCGCCGCTAATCTGCTTGGCGCCGCGCCAGTCACAAGAAATGACATGTACCACTGCAGGAGGAGCTCGAATGAAACAACAATCTCATCCAATGGAAAACAAAAATATTATATAATTTGGGCCTGGCCCAGGAAAAAATTATTTTTTTTCTTTAACCAGCAAAATATTATATGGATCGGGTTAAATTTTATTGTCCCCCGGCTGTGCAGTTCATTCGAGAAGGGGGCGTGCAATTTTTTTTTGCGAAATAGTGCGTTATTTTTCGCTTTTCTGCGGCGGAGTTCGCCACTTCCGGTCAATCTTGAGCCGAGAATGGACGGAAAGTAACGCTGAAAGTGGTTGGAAGGCCTAAAAGGAGCCGTATCGGCGCGGAAAGGGCGAATTCAGGGGCAGGTGCCGCTGCACTGGTCAATACACTTGTCATGTTCCACCCCCACTTTGCCAAAAATGGGCACCTTTGCGCTTGGAAACGCCACTTGGGCGAGCGGCCGGCGCCTCTCAGTTCACTTACCGCAACTTCCGCGCCTCTCGGGATGCACAAAACAGCACTACTCGGGCACCAAAGTCATTTTGCCACTGTCTTTCATCCAACACAACCACTGCAGCAGTGGAATATTATCCATGAAGTGGTGAATTTTGTGTTGTGACGTCAACAAATGCGGATTGACAGCTGAGTAAAGATATTCCCAGCGACCAATCAGAGCCGACCGAGGAGCCGAAGCGCCACTTTTTGTATCACCCCGTCTCATTTATCGCCAAAAATGGCATTATTCGCATATTACACGACACAAGTGGAAGCCAAATTAATATAATTAAAAAGCTAAAATTAAATTAAACAAATTTTTATTGTTTTATAGTGTTCAGAAGCAAGTGCCGAGATATCTGTCCAAAAATTAATAATTTCGGCATTTTTTGGATAATGGCTTGGATTGTAGCAGAGGCGCCATCTGAAGGGGCGAAAGTAAAACTACCCTGACATCTTGCCTGACATGCGGGCAAGTATAAACAAAAGGTAAACAAACACGGTTTTGCGGTGTTTAATAAAAGCAGAAGTAAATTGTAATTATACCGTAACTTGTAGGCTGAGATGCAATTAATTTGTGATTGTGAACGTTAATTAATGCGGAGATGAGTGAGCGACTAAAGGAGCTGCGAGAACGCTCGCAAAAGAGAAAGCAGTTGCTAGCCAGAACGGTACCCATTATTATTTTTTATCTGCTTCGACTCAAATTTGAATAAATTTATTTCTCTCCCGCAGTTTGGAGTAGGAAGTGTTCAGGAGCTGAGCAGAGTTTTAGGAACGGTAGATGAAATTCCTGTGAAGAAACAACAAACTGAACCCCCCAAGGAGGACATCGATAAAGGGAAAGTGCCTGAAAACTCTGAAGAAAATGCAGACTCGGATAATCTCGTTTACACCGACTCGTCCACTTTCCTCAAAGGAACGCAGTCATCAAACCCCCACAACGATTACTGCCAACACTTTGTAGATACAGGGCAACGTCCTCAAAATTACATACGAGATGTAGGTCTGGCAGACAGATTCGAGGAGTACCCCAAACTTCGGGAACTGATCAAGTTAAAAGTACAAACCTCAACTTCATTGGGTAGAAAATTATAAAAAATTTCTGTTTAGGACGACTTGATTTCCAAAACTGCAACGCCTCCCTCATATTTGAAGTGTGACCTGCACTCATTCGACTTAAAGAACCTGAAAAGCAAGTTCGACGTCATCCTAGTGGAACCACCCCTCGAAGAGTACCAAAGAACTATGGGGGTTACAAACATGGAATTCTGGGGATGGGAGCAGGTATTATTAAACAAAGGTTAAATATTGCCAGGCTAATATTTAAATTTTAATTTAGATTATGGAGCTGGACATCGGAGAAGTTGCTGCACCTCGTAGTTTTATTTTCCTGTGGTGTGGATCCTCAGATGGCTTGGACTTGGGCCGCTACTGTCTACGAAAGTGGGGTTTTCGGAGATGTGAAGATATCTGCTGGATTAAAACCAACAGCAACAATCCCGGTCACTCAAAAAATTTGGATTCCAAAGCAGTTTTCCAGCGCACAAAGGTTTGTAAAAAAATATAAGATTTCAGTTGTTAATTTTAGGAGGAATGAATTAAGATATATTTTCTTTAAATTGTATTCAGGAGCACTGTCTGATGGGGATAAAAGGAACAGTCAGAAGATCGACAGACGGAGATTTCATTCATGCCAACGTTGACATTGATCTCATCATATCAGAGGAGCAGGACTACGGTTGCTTGGACAAGCCTGTTGAAATATTTCACATCATTGAGCACTTCTGTCTCGGTCGCCGAAGGTGAATTTAAAACTTATCACTTTTTCCACAACTAACTATTGAACAAAAAAATTAGGCTCCATGTATTTGGTCGAGATAGCACAATACGTCCGGGCTGGCTGACTATTGGCCCTGCATTGACAAACAGCAACTTCAACGGAGACCAATATTCCGGATACTTTAGCAATGGTCAGCTGACCACAGGCTGCACCGAGAGAATAGAAGCGTTGAGACCCAAATCACCTCCGCCCAAAGGTAAAGGACCTCCAGGTTCAAGAGGACGGGGTGGTGGATCCAGAGGTGGCTTCCGCGGCAGAGGTCGGGCCCGATAGATTTTCCATTTTTTTTTAACCAGGATTGATTTTTAATGTCTGCATTTTCTTAATTGTGAATGTCCTCTTTTAACTTTTATCTCTTTATTGGTAATATATATAATTATTCACGCTACATGAAGTTGTTATCAAATAAATTATAACATCTGAAAGATTATCTTGTTTCTCATCTCTAGCAAAATTGAAACAAATGTCTAAGCTTACAGTCAAAACAGTAAAAAGATTACAATTAGCCTTTTAATCACAATCATCCTAATTTCATTAACAGTCATTCATATTATCTTCTACGCTACCCTTCACCGACCGATTTAAAAGTTTGCAGCTTCCACTGCAATGCTCAGTATGTCCAATGTTTCAATCTCTTATTCAATCATTGTTTGTTGTCGGCACTTTTCTGAAATAATTTGGTGACCATTTAAGTAATACCGGTTACTTTCAAGAGTACAAATTGCCTCTAGAAGTTGATAAAAAAAATGTCAAGTTAATGAGAACAACAGTTTCTCATCCTCTGACACCTGCATTAAAAAAAGATGTGCCCTTTTCAGAATGATTAACTAACACTTAAATAAAAATTACTTAATTACTTTCTGTCAATGTTTTTTGGTGTCAGAGTTTTGAGATCATGAAATTGTACATAAAATCAACTGGGTACCATAGTACCGCATTGACAACACAAAATAAGGTCAATGAGGACATCAATTTCAAAATTTAAACGCAAGTTGTAAGTTTGATGTTAACAGAACATTTTTGAGAAAGTTCATTATTTGTGATATACCAAGAATAAGAAAAATTGACAGAAGGTAATGTTAAAATTTGTTGATTGATATCAACCATTTCAATTAAAATTAGTTGAGTTTTATGAATTGGCAATATAAAAATCCCTATCGATTTCACAACACATTCTAGCAAAAAGCAGATCTGTTCAAAACAGTCTTTATATTTAAATTACAGAGCCAACTATATCATTTTGTTTGAAATTGCCTATACTTAAATCCACTTTTGTACTGAAATTCCTGCTGAAATTGTTCTCTTGCACCTAAACCGTTTCAGTTCTTACTTCGGAAGTCAACAAACGCATCACACTTTCTTCAGGTTTTCTTCAATTCGTTAATTGTCACACTTTGATGATGGCACCTTTTTGGCAAGCCTTTAATCTTATTAAATCTAGTACGTAATTGAGTAATGAAGATCAGAGAAAAATGCAGTGATGAGCACTTTTACACTTGAAAAGTTTTTGTACGTTTGTCTTTCCCACTGGCGAGTTGCCCAAATGCCCAGCAGTGTGTTAGTCATCTATCAATCCCAACAGAGCAGTGTTTTTTTGTTTCAATGTTCACCAGGCAAAGAAGCATTGTTTTTAACTTATGAAGGGCGTATGATGATGTGAGGCAAACGACTTGATGTTAAAAATGAGTTGATTCTCCTGAAAGAAAAACTTACTGTTCAACTGATCGTGAGCGGGGCATTTTTGTTTGTTTTAACTTCTGCCCTCACCTCTCCTGATGCAATTAAGCTCCACTCCGAGTATATACCCAAGCGTTACAAATCGTTTTGCGGCAGCAATGCATAAAACAACATACCTCCAATGGCAATTTTTCAACCAAAGCAACAGAGCAGGCTTTGTTAGTTGCTGGTCGTTCAAATAGTTTAAAACCACTACCTCATTGGAAGGAAGCGAAAGCAGGAAGAAAAGGAAGACAAAGCACAGAGATATATAGTTTGCAGCTCAATTATTTATTTCTCCAGAGTGTGTGTATTTGATTAGTTGTCGTTTTTGCAATAAAATTCTTCTCCGTCTTGGTACACGAATACAGAAACATCATGTTCATTTTTCTCCAGCAAAACATCTTTACTCATATTTTTTTTTTTTTAAATCAATCATTTCCCAAAGAACACCTCCAACAACAATTAATGATTTCCAGCAGCTAAGTAGAAATTCCGACAATTATTCCCGAGATCTGCAGATAACTTAAAAATGCAGTTAATATTTCCTCTTGCTATTTCCAATAAATTATTTTGCAAAGGTAAGTGTGTGATTGGCACAAGTTGGCACAAAAAATTAAAAGTACAAAGTATTGTGAAAATAATTGATATTATCGTAGTAGTTCAGTGTAGTTGAAAACAGTATGTATAGTTTATGTAGTCATCAAAGTGTTGAGAAAGTACAATATTGTTGCCTTGTTACCAAACAGTGGGTGTGGGTATTGGGCAAAATACCAATACAGTAGTTGTGTTTGCAGAAATTTCTTTCTTGGTTTTGTGCCGAACCAGAGTCACATCAACAATATAATATAATTCTGCTATCAAATATTATGTCCTTGTGATTTACTTTATAAATTAATTTGGTTCCTTTAGTGTGAGAAAATTCAGTTCTATTTTAGAAACCTTGTACTTGTCACTTTTGACAGAGTAATTTAATAGTAAATATCTACTTTATAATCCGTTAAAAATAATGCATGTATATGCAACTATCTCATATTACAAAGAATTATTATTAGTTATTGTTAATTGTGTTCACAATTTACTTTCTTGTTCTGATTAGAAATTAAATTTCTGACATTTTGTCACAATCAGCAAATTGGTGATGATTATTTTTTTCCGAACTATCATTTTTTTTTTTTTTTTGTTCAAAATGGACTCAAATGTGATCACTGAATAGCAAAATGTTAATTTGTACATGTATGGCTTAAACAGTCCTCCATATTCAAGTATCATTTCCTCTAAAATCGAAGCGTTATTTCATTTTACGTAAGTCTATGAATAATTTGCGAGAAAAATATGCTTTTGACTAAAATGGATGCACTATAAATGGAACTAAAACATCATCAGCAAAAGGAGTTTTGCAAAAAACAAATTTGTCTGTTTTAAGTGTTTCCGTCAAAAATTAAGATCTACAGAAAATTTTCCAAGAAGTGTTCAGGGCAAAAAGCACCAGGCCAAAATCAATCTAGTGACACCAATCTGCAAATAATTAGCTTCAAAGGCTACTGTCAATAATGTCTACTTGAATATTTGCATGAAATGCATTTGATCATACACATTTAGTCTATGCGACTAAAATTCAGTTTTAAGTCAGCTGCTTCATTTTTGGTTGGTGTTCTATAAATCAATGATCAAAGGAAAATAAGTTTTTTTCGCAACTCGTCACATCAGAATCATCGCATCCGCACGCTGGGAAGAAATCAGAACATTTCTTCCCAGCTTCAGCCATAATTGATCGATTTGAATATCAGCTTTGTCTTCGATTGCTAGTTGCTTGGGATATGATTCATCACGCCACCTGCTCACCCGCTTGATACTCTGCCTCAGAGAGAAGCCGATACCTCACCACACGTGCATGATTCACTGGGGAGTTTAGAAAAAGAGAACGTATTTATAAAAGGGTCAGCCTGCACCAACAGCAAGACGAGAATATATATGGCAGCAAATTTTTCTAGGTCTACGCAAGCAGAACTGACAAGCGACTCGGTTAAATTATAGAGAAAAATCATATATCATGTGAAAGGGTGTGCTATACGGACGCTCGTCAGTATCTAAGTGATGAGTAGTTTCGGTGCTGGCACACACTCAACGACTCAAAAAAAGCCATGCAGCAGCATGCAACCAAGTAGTAGTGTCGAGATTCAAAAGACAAGATGACACTTTTGATCATCTATAGAGTTATTAATGATAATCACGAAACAAACGATTTTCACAACACAGTTGCAAAAACAATGAAATAATCAAAGGTCAAGCTCTCGGTAAAATGAATGAAGAGTAATCCAGTCTTCTCAGGGGTGTAACTCACCAGACTCCCAACTTTCATCACCGCCTTCACCGTCTTCGCTGCTCTCTGAGCTTGAGTGGTCGTCGCCCTCTGATGAACTGTTCGGTGTGTCCTGGTTTTCGACCACCACAACACCAGCCTGCGGTAGAGTTGGTGAAAGAATGCCTGCTCCAGTCTGCAGTCTTGAGGCATTGTTAGCCAACGAGATACGATCCACGGACGATTCTAAATTAGGTACACGAAGCATGAACAGGCGAACCTAAATCAGAAACACAGCAATCAATTTGCAATCAGTAATAAAATTTAAATCATACCCTGAAGTTTTGGTCGAAGATCTTGTTCTGCTTATCCTTGTGAGCGTCATCTAAGTGCCACTTGTCAATGGTAAGCATCAGTTCGCTGATACCATCAGTTTGCAATGATGCAAGGGAACTGCAATTAAATTCGTTATGTATTTTCAGCACATTAATTTTACACAAAATATACCTCGTTTGCTGTAGGAACATCATAGGAGGAAGTGTGGATTGTTCATCATAGCTCATGGCACGGCTGGTTCTCTGATGTGGCCTTCGTTCTGGGGTTGCAGTTTCATTTCCGTTCTCGTTGGTTTCGTGCTTGGCCTCTTCGTTGACAAAAAATGTGTTGAACCAAAAGTGAAACAGTTTCTCCTTTCTCCTGAGTGCATTTTTCATGTAGAACTCCACTTTAATATCACCGGTGATGGTCACTCTTGGGCTCAGGGACAAACTTTGCAGGCTTTTCTTTATTTCGTACAGGGGCGATGTGTACAGTCTCCGCTGAGAGTCTGAGATCACAAATTGCAAGTCTAGAATTTGAGGCGATTAGTTTATGCAATTTCAGTTCTAACTGAATATAAAAGCTTACTTCCTTGCATTCCATGGAGATGGGGAAGGGGTTCCAAGCAAATTCTATCTAATAGAAGGGTCACTGGTTGGTATTTAAGCCTGAGCTGGACGATCTGAGCGTAGTAATCCACAAATCTGCGTTGGCTTGGAATTGTCACCCCCTGTAAAATGTGGACGAAGACATGAAAAAAAAAAAATACCAATTATTTTTCTACGTACCTTCTTGTCATGGGTTCTGCTCTGCCCGTAAAAGTTGAGAGCATCTTCGGCAGTCAAGAACTGTTTGCTATGCAGAAGGTAACAGCAGATCATCACTCCAGTTCGGCCCTTGCCAGCCTTGCAGTGGACAACAGCCACGTTGTCAGAGTTTTTGTTGATCCAATCGTGGACGTCGTTGCAGAAAGGCCCAATTAAATCAATCTGAGGCGGGTTATGATCGTTGAAAGGATAATGAGCTACCCTGTGATGGAATTTGCTGGGGTCGTATGAACGCTCCGAACAACTGTAAATTGACATTTCAAGAGATGAAATACACAATTTGTGAAAATTTTAAAATTAAAGTTACAGATTGTATATTTTGTAGTGCTCTGGATGTTTCTTGTCTAAGAATCTGCCAACATCGGAAATGTTGTTACGATACATGCCCTCGATCTTCTCAGCAGGATAGCCCATGGCAATGATGTTGTTTCTTATGTCTAGAAATATTGGTTAAGGAAAAACCATACATTATAGATAGCAAAATTAATTAGCGAAGGAGAGTAATTAAAAAATCAAATTAAAATAACTGAATTAAGCAAAAAAATTTAATGAAATTATTTTCAAATAATGTAGCTGTATAGCAAACTAATAAAAAAAATCATGCGATTGCGATAAAGGAATGTGGTCGATATGGAAATTAAATTTTGCAAGCAAATGTCGTAATAAATTGTACATGTTTAAAAAGCTGCAATTATAAATTATGATTCATCTCATGGAAATAGAAATCACAGCAATGTTGTTGCTGAATAAAAAGGATACAGGTCAGGTCGAGGTTGAAGCCATCCTGGGTGTAGCGCTTCCTCTTCTTGCTGACCATCTGCTTGATAGGGTTTGCCATTTTGGTGTAGCCACCAAGGCTGTGGTAGTAATTGTTGTGATGGTGGTTGTTGAGGCCTGGCAGCTCCTGCTGGACGGTGGTGCTCGAGGCTGCAGATTCTAGAGAGGAGACCGCCTCGGCGGAAATCTCCTTGCAGCGGTAGATGTCTGCAATATTATCCTCCTCCGAGCAGGATGAGAACTGGTTGACGCAGATGGCAGCATTTAAAGGAGTCACCGACGAGACGGTGTTGATGTACTCGACTTTGTCCAAGTCCACCTCGAGATTATCACTGTGATTGTTGTTGCTGCTGCTCAGTGATGATTTTCGGCACGAGTAGCAAACACCCATAAAAAACTCACAGCACTTACTAACCCACTTCATAAGACGACAGCTAGTGAGCTATTAGGCGTCCGAGGACTAGTGGTCGGACAGTGTTTGCTCGGTCGGACAGCAGCTTGTCACGCCGTTCTCGCCGAGAAACGAAACAATGGCGCTAGACGAAGGTGCCCCACGGCACGCAGCGACCCACCGAGCGAGTCCACTTTTCCACCGATCTTTCTGCCCGATTTTGGCACTTTCTCGCTGCTCCACTACTTCACCGACTATCTCACGTTCATCATGGGTGTCCCGGAGCGAGAAAATCTGTCCAACAAACTAAAGGATCATGTTAAAATCGAGATGTGTCACAGCGAGGAAGTGTGCGAGCTGTGCGGGTTGAAAGAGTTGTTGCCTAAACCCATAAAATCCAACTGCTGCCAACCTGACGGAGTAATTCATTTTGCGAGCCGATGGCGCGTCTTTCGGAATTCGGTCGCATACAATTACGATTTGTCATTCGGTATTTCCGTGCGGATATGATGTGATATATCTACTGCTAAAATACAAGCCAATTTATATGTTGATCAGCTTTGCTTGCTGTTTAAGCTTAATTGTAAGTATAATTTGTTGGCAATTGTGCCGCCTTGCATGGCAACAACGTAGATGACGACGAGTTAGAATGTGGTGGGGGAAAATAAATTAAAAAAATCAACCATTTCACTCTTGAGAGGCGGTATCATTATTTTTTGCCCAAGCTGAAGCATGAACCCTTGCCTAGACAGCCCATAAAAAACGAACCCACACCATTGATATATTTGTTGGGTTTTGGGTTGGGGATAAAATATCTACCTGATTTTTTTTGTTCAAGCAGAAGCAGGTTGCTTTTATTTATTTGTTCTATTATTTTCATTTATAGTTAATATCAAATATTTATAACACTACAAAAAAAATCATGAACACAAATCAGAAAAATTATAGAGTCAATTTTGCTTAATCTTACGCGTTGCGTGGTTGATTAACTTCCTGAGCACAGCTAGGAGTCTTAATTAAAATTCTAGGAAATAACCAAATAAAAAATAATCACAACACAACTGTCCCAAACTCATGAAGCGTTAAATAAAACTGAATTATCTTGGTAAACTATGTGAAAATAATTCCACTAGTCCATGTCTGAAGAAGAAGCCACTAAACCGTTATTGCTGCGTACCTTCGATTCTCTAATTTTACTGAACGACTTTCTCAAATCGTCCATATTAATGGATCGCATAGCTTCATCACCTTCTTGGCTGCTTCCATTTATCACTGCAGTGCGATTCCTAAAAAAAAATTGTTTGTTTATAGATTATAAATTATAGCAGCATTGAAAAGTACCTAGTAGTTGATCGCATGAAGTCTCTCATTCTGTAAACCGAGGCGCTTCGACACAGCTCGTGTAAATCAGATCCAGAGAAGCTTTCTGTGATCTTTGCTATGTTTTCCAAATCAACATCCTCTCCGATTGGTTCATTATCAAGAATCAGTTTCAAGATTTGCAGCCTTTGTTTTCGGTTCTGAAAAGACAAAATTTTTTAATAAAAAAAATTAGAACACAAATTAGAAAAATACAGGTAGGCCAACGTGGAACATAGAAGGCATTCGCCTTTGAATGGCTTGGTCCAAGTCTCGAGGTCTGTTTGTTGCGCCCATGACTATCACGACACAGTTGGGGTCTGTGATGAGCCCATCCCATAAGCTCATAAACTGAGCCTTCATCATGGCGGTTGCTTCATGGTCTTGGGAACTCCGAACTCTTAAAAACGAATCTAAAAATAATTAATGGAATATTTGTAAAAGAAGTATAGAGCGTGTTTAAAAAAAATCAAATTTACCAATTTCATCAATGAAAATGATGCATGGTTGCAGTTCAATGGCCAACGAAAACACAGCCGCTGCCAATTTCTGACTTTCTCCGTACCACTTGTCAGTCAAAATAGACACGTCCAGATTAATAAAACGAGCTCCTGCTTCTTTTGCTGTTGCCTTGGCAATGAGGGTTTTACCACAGCCCGGAGGGCCATGCAAAAGGACGCCTATTTTTTGTTTACCAATGATTAAAGTCATTAAGAAAAACGAGAAAAAAATTATTACCCTTCGGTGGCTGACTGAGTCTTGACTCAGCAAGTAAATCCTTCCTTGTTATGGGAAAGATGACCGTTTCTTGGATCTCTTCAATGACATCGTCCAAGCCTGCAATGTCACTCCACGACACTTTTATGTCTTTAGGATCAACCAAATGAGTCGCAATCATCAGCTCATGTTCTGAGAGCTGGAATTTATTTTCAGTCAATAAGATTTTTTCATTTTATTTTCAATGTAATATGTAATACCTGTCTCTTGACCTGGATCCCAATCTTTTTCATAAGATCAGTGGCCTGAAATTCAATAAAAAGTTGTGAGTTATATAATAAACTTTAATTTCAGGGTAAATTTTACCTTTGCTTTTGCTTGGTTCTTCTGTTTGTTAGTTGGGTCCAGTTGATTTATCAGCCACTTCATGGAGTAATATGAGAATGCTGAGAGAAGTACCAATTTTGCGGTTATTTTAATGATTTCTGTCCTTGTAATTTCAGACTCCATGTCGCGTGAATAGTGAATTTGCTGAAAATACGGCGATATTTTAGAAAATAGCATCCCAAGGTCATAAGGCATCTTTGAAATGTCACGCAAATAATCAAAAACAAAGAGAAACAAATAACATGAAGGTCGTTAATTATAGAAACTTCAAATTCTGCATGTGATTCTGCTTGCTCACCTTAAAACTGTCAAAGCCCAAAGTTATTTGTGCAGAATTGGATGGACGTCGCAGTGAGCAATCACTGTTTTTTCATAAATGTGTCTAACTGCATTCCTTTGCTCTTTTGTAGATTATTGGCTTCGTTTGTCCTCAAAGTTAAAAAGTCAAATTAATCGATCCGCAGGGACTGCAGCGCGTTGATGCACTTTTCACATTTTTCTTCCTGAGACACGCCCCTTTATTACTCGCGCTGATTCGTCGAGCGGAAAGTCCTGGTTTCAATTCAAACGATTACCGCGAACACAATTGCAATGCACTCTCTTTTTTCTTTGGTGCTGCTCCAGCAGCGCAAAATTTTATTATTAATAATATATTTAATATCTATTTTAATTTAATTGCTTTCATTTTTCCTATGATTTTCTATGCACAGTATTCAAAAATTAAATTATATTTAAGAAACTATATTGCTTTATTTTATTTCACATTAACATACTCAATAATAAATGATTTCAGAGTTCACACGATAATGGAATGACTTATATTTGCACACAACTCACAATTTATCAATAAAAAATTCACTACATGGTGGTGAAACTAATACCTTTTTTAACCACTGATATTCAATCAAATTCAAGGCTCATTCCGACTGCCAGAACATTATTTTTCTTTCCCTTTTGTCTCTGAATGAGATGGCGCTCTTGGACATCTTTAAAATGAGAAAAGAGCTTGGCAAAATCAATCTTATTGACTTCACTTCGATCTTCTTTCCAAGATGATGATCTAGTTTCAATTGTTTCTTCATTACGAATTGAAAAAAAAAGTATAGTTAACATACTTAGCATCTGGAACTTTTGGAACGCAGTTAAGCCGACGTCGAAGGGTGTGAAATGCCTCGGTTTGGGGCATCAGCATCAAAATACCATAGAGTGACTGCACTAGAGGTTGAGGTGATTCAAGCAACTGCAGTCTCAAATCTTTATTTTTTAAGTTAGTAACTATCCAGTATTTTTTTAATTAATATCATACGTGCAAAAATTGGAGATTCAATCAGTTGGATCAGCTTGTCCAGCTCTACCAAAAATTCTACTGTAACTTCAAGATCACCACTATACTTTGGTTAAGGAAAACAAAAAATCGCAAAAAAACATCAAGTAAAATAACAATTACGACACACAATTATTTTTGCAAATGTGAAAAGGATACAAAGATTTAATCAAAGTACTGGCATGAGGGTAGCACTGTGTGAGCAGGCATAATGATACGGTTGCCACAGGATTGTGGCACCAAGTCTTGTAAAGGCAGACGAAGAGTGAAGCACTTTCCGATGTTGTCAAGGATTGCAGCTCCCTCCTCAAATGCGCAAGTTCGCTTGAGGTGAGCAAGATCTCGTGCAGGCAGTCCACCATGCTTCGCGCAAACTGCAAATCTTCCTCCCCAATCAAAATTTGTGATAAACTGCGGTATATTGACTCTGCGTTTAGAAGAACGCACAGTTGTCTGAAAATATTAAATTAAATTTTTGAAGGGACTTGGCTTGTAAAATAAAACTACCTCAATATAAAAGGACCTCTTTCTTCTAGCACACTCCTCTCGGAATGAAAATGGTGCAGCAACGAGCCCAAGAACTGAGGGAAAAACTCTGGTCCCCCTGGACTTGAATGGTCTGAGAGGGAAGCAAGGACGGCCAATGTGTGACGCACAACTTCATCTGAAGGGTCCGAAAGTGCTCCGACTAGCACATTAGATGATTCTTGCAGTTTCTTGCTTACCTTTATAGAATATATCAGAGAAAATATTTTACGAGATAGGAAATTCAATTACTTGGCTGGGCATCTTTTTGTTGAGATGAAGAATCCAAGTGAGTGCTGCAACTTTACTTGGTGTTGCGGATCCATGACCTATGCTACGAACAAGAACCTCAATGACACTCTCTGTGTCGAGTTTGTACTTTGGATCATCAGTAGGATTTTCAGCTTGCTGAGAGACTAGGCGAAGAAGACTAAAGCTAACAGCCTTGGCAGTTTCTTTTATATCTAAAAATAAAACAGAATTTGTTAGCCAGCATAATCATACAAAAATAATCAATATTTACTCTTTCTCTCCTCGTTTTCATAAGAATGACAAGGAAGAACTGCAGTCAGGATGCTCGAAGTGTAAGGCAACATGCTCGGGCCAGAGAGCTGCACAAATTCTTTTACCCAGGTTATTGCTGTTAACTGAACATCGGAAAATTATTGTTTTTATTTTCACGATAAAATATAAATTAAGGTGCCTTACTTAATCAATCAATTAATTTTTATTCTTGAAAAAATTCAAAATAGGCAACTTACTTGCAGAGACTGATACTGAGATTGTGCGTGAAGGATCAATACGTTGATCATCTTTTGAAAGTCAACCTGAGATGGATTCTTTTTTATTGTCCTCAAAAATTGTGCCAGGACATTGTCACATCTGAAGGGAGGAATCAAATAATCAAATATATTGGATTTAAATTTCGTTTTTTACCTTTGTTGAATTTCAGGAGCTGGGTCTTCCAAAATTTTAAAAAGTCCGTCAAGGAGCTCTGGTAAGTAAACAATGAGGTCCAATTTTGGAAGTTGATGCAAGAGAGACACCCAAGATAATATAAACTCTCTGGAAAAATTGCTCTTGGCGTAAATTCTCTCTCCTAGGAGTGGAATCAGTATGGTCAAGTCAAAAGTTTGACTCTCAGTCACAATATCCTATTAACAAAAAAATAACAGAAATTAAAAAAAAAAATCAAAATGTTTCATAAAAAACCTTAAGTATTCTGTCGAGTAACTCTGCTGCACTCCGAACATTTAAATCAAGGTCTGCGACCAGGACACTTAACGCATTAAATACTTGAGGAAAGCTAGGTAAGATTTCATGACGGGCCACCTAATAAAATAATATTATTAAATTCACAATCAGATAATTAAAAAAATTATAATTATAATAATAATTACTTTAGCAACATTGTGCATAGCTTCACAGGCATAATATCGAACCCTTGCATCATTGACGGTGAAAGAGGCAAGCAGAGGCTCGGTCAATTCAGGTACATACTGAGCACAATCCTGGAGATAAGAAAAATAAAATTATTACGCCTTCTAAAAATTGTGAATGTAAAAAATTACAGGGCCTAAGCCAATGGCAACCGCCGCTAATCCGATGTGTCCTCCTTTGCGGTAATGAGGATTCGGCGAAAGCGCGAAGTCTTGCCCAAGTATTTTTAGCAACTTTTTAATCTGCATGGTGTTGTTGCTAGCATGAAAATCACGAACCATTCTGCAAAATTAATGAAATGAATTATACGAAAAAATTAAGGCAAAATAAAATCAGACTTTTCGATTTCCACAGCGGCGGCTTTCCTCTTTTCATAGAGTTTGTCCTGTAGTGCTCTAACGCAGGCTGTGCTCAAAGGTGAATAATCTTTGTCGTTCATTGCTGCTTTATATTGATAGCAACGAACTGCAAAAACTTAATTTACTGCAGCAAGCACAGAAGGGACACGGACTCTATTATTTACCTGTATGCAAATCCTCCCGTCAGTGAGTGCTGTGTGTTGTCATCTGACTTGAGCTCTGGGGGGCAGATCCCGGCAATATTATTTGCCGTTTGCCCTTGTAATGTTATGATTATGTCCACGGTCATATGTCGCTGAGCTCCAACAAGACTGATTGTGAGCTCCAACAAAGATTTAATACAAAATCCTTTTTTTTTTTTAATAAAGATTTTCTTCTTCCAATTATCAGATATTTCAATAGAAATAGATTATAATTTATAATGTAACAAATAATCGCAAATAATTATCAAGACAAAATTTTAAATCGCAGCGCGTACATTTAAAAAATAAAAACCACAGAAAATCAATAAAATTAATTTAAAATATCTAAATTGTTTTATGATTATATGTAAAAGTGACCATTTTTGCGCACTTCTGTTCTGTGTAAAGTATTATATTATTATAACTAACTGCTGTAATACTGTTCTGGTATTAAAACGGATTATAAATATTAATAAAACGGAATGGAAATAAAAATAGTAATTTTGAGTAATTTATTGTTTCAATTTTGTTAATTTATTCACTCTTGCGTAACGAGTGTCTTTATATTTATGTCCTCTAAAATTGCATAAATCCATTATATGGAATTTTAGTGTAGAAAATGCTATGATAACGTAGTCTATCACTCTCCCACTTGATCAAGAGTTTGTTTAAGTGTACACTTTTGCTTTTACTCGCCATCATCACTACCGGATTCAGAGTCTGAACTAATGGTTATAAATGGAGTAACTGGAGATTCACCAACAATTTTCCAAAATTCAAAGAATGGTTCCTTGCCAGTTGCAACGCACCACTTCAAGAACACATGAAGAGCAATATGTCCCAAACAACTTCCTCTGAATTTTCTGTTATTCTTCGGTAGAGTGACCCTCAAATCTTTGCTGCTTCTAAGGTGGGTGCCTGTTTCATGGTCTTCAAAGATCAGATGGTGGTTGTCTGTGAGGTGGAGATAGCCCAGCTGGTTGTTGGCAAAATACGATTTCCAGCACTCGGAAATGACCATTGTCTCTGGCAGAATCCAAGTTTCAATCAAAGGTACTAATTGCGCTTCTCTCAGCTCCACAGGCACCAAAAGAACTCTTGAAGTCTCTCTTTCGAATACGGCAAACACCCATTGTTTTCCAGCGGGCCTCGTCTTGGTCTTGCGTTCCTCGAACTTGCCCTCTGTGACCTCAACAAATTTTCCTGGCCCTCCAAGAGGTTGGGCTGTCCTTTCAAACCACTGAAGAATGACGTTTCTCATATATCGTTGCCACCTTTTAACCACGGAACGTGTTGTTTGCATCTCCCACATTATTTTCTCAGTTTCCCAATTATTCAAAACCATATAGGACATAATGAGAAACTTTGCCAAAGGCAATTTGCTGCCCTCAAAAACAGAGCCAAAACGAAAAGATTCACTGTAGTTACAATTCTGTCTTTTCTTTTTTGGTTTCTGTATGTACGCCCTGCATCGCCAAGAGCTGTTTTCTTGTTCCTTATTGTTTCGTGTCCTTGTAAACCTAAAAAAATCGTCGCAAAATTAGCAATTTTGCTGCGATTACATATGCTCTTTATTAATTACTTTTGAATGATTACATCCATTATTATATCATGTAATTCTGTTGACTTGAAATTATTTATGCTCATATCGTACTTGCCTGTAGAATTTCATTGGTGTTCCGCATTTTGAGCAATTTTTCTCTCGAGGAAAGATGTTGTTGTCAGTCAAGAATTGTATTATGGCAATCTCATTTTTGCTAAATTCGTACACGTTTAAAAGGTTAACTGGCACCTCACGAATATCTTGGGCTCTTAACGTTTCTTCAGCTGCAATTTCAGTGTCACTTTCATCTAAGTCATTAAAAGTCTCCATCGTCTCTTCTAAGTTGTAATTACTGCAGAAAATAATATTTAATTATCTTGGCTGTAAATGGAAACTTTACTTACTATGTAACTGCTGTAAATGAAAGATGGTCAAGAAATTATGTACAAAATGTAAAATTGAAACGATTAAAACGATAGTCTTCCCGGCTCGATGTTCCTTGTTGATGTTGATTGACTTGACAATATTGACATAAAAGCAAAGAACACGGCCAACACGCCCCCTTCTCTTGCCTCGATCAAAAGAACAAAATTTTACAACGTTGTTCTTTATAAAAAAAAAAAAAAATATTTTAATAGAATGATAGTATTAAGCAAATTTTATTTGTTGCAAAGTACACCTCTTATTATTCATATTAAAATAAAGGGTCTTAAATTCCTGAGCTGCCAAATTTGCCGCCATGAACCCTGCGTCAAAAAACAAGAGACGAGCGAAATTTACTGAAGCGCAGCGCTGGTTGTTTTGGTCTCCTGAAAACCTCTATTAAAATTAAGAAAAATTGCAATTAACTTGGATTTTTTCGAAGCAGTTGGTCTATAAATATTCGAAAAACTTTCTTCATAAACTAGATCACAATGTTGTACCTAGAGGACTACCTAGAAAGTGAGTTTATATGCCAAATTTTGTCAAAAACTAACGATGGTCACGACCACGCTGCCGAAATTTCCAACACAACTTTATACAGAATTTGACACTATTAGCAACTTTTTAATTTTTTAATGACTTTTATTGTTTAAAACATATCGCTATTTATTATTTTAGTGATCGAGCACCTCCCGCAGGAGCTCCGGGATAGATTCACTGAAATGCGAGAGATGGATCTTCAAGTTCAGAGTAATAGGAGCATTAACCTGTAAAGTTTAAAACTTGTTTTCATCACGAATTTTGCTTTCTAGATTCTGCAGATAGCCTGGAAAAACAGGTCAAAGTATTCTTCAGCAAGGCTAAGAAACTAAAGCAAACTGAAAGGGATGTTGAACATGCAACGATCCTAAAAGACTATTATAAGGCTCTTGAAATTGCCGGTTTGTCATTCATTTTCATCAACGACACCTCTATTATATAATTTGAAAATTTTTACTCGTGGTCATTGCTATATGTATTTATAAGAATTCTTGGAAGTACAGTTTATTAAAAATAAATAAAAATATATATTTTTTGTAGACGAAAAAGTTCAGCTGGCGAGTCAAATTTTTGACCTGGTCGACCGCTACTTAAGGAGGTTGGATCAAGAATTGCATAAATTTAAAATGGAGCTGGAGGCTGACAACAAGGGCATCACAGAAATACTCGAAAAGAGTGGGTTCAAGAGACGAAAGTTGCAAACAAAAAACTATTAAATCTCATTTGTGACAGGGTCTTTGGATCTTGACCAACCGGTGCAAAGTGCTCAAAAAGAGAACCGTTATAGCTTGGGGATGCAAAGGACCCAAGGTTTGTAAAGTTTTAAGAGAATGTGGCTCAGTTTTTATCCATTGGTGGTCGCACAGCCGAAAAACGATCCAGCAGTGGAACCCTTCATGCTTTGATAGAGAAAAAAATGGCTGTCGAAAGGACCGTCGGTGGTTCTAGTTCTCAACATCAACAACAACAGCATCAACAAATTGAAGCCCGCCCCATTAGCAACAGCATGGCCATGATCCCTGTGCAGCAGCAAGTTAATTTCTCGCTCAGCCATATCGGTGCCGGAAGTTCCGCAATAGCAGCAGCTGCCTCGCAGGCGATTGCAGCTACTCAACAGGTTTCAATTTTGATAATTCTAGTGTTTTCTCAAAACGTTCAAAAGCAACTCTTGAACCTTAAAAAGCTAAATGTTCTCAGTAAAGATTTTTTGGATGTAAATAATCATACAATATTTAATTTAAAAATATTTGATCTCTGTCGACCAAGTGTATTAAAAGATTTTTAAAATTGAAAAATACAATTATAGGGTTTTTATTATTTATTTGCTTTAGATGCAACAGGGTCGAAGGACTGCAAGCTTGAAGGCTAGTTACGAAGCCATCAACACGGGCATCAACCCCCACGAACTGAGCATCGGGCGAGAACTTGCTGGTGCTGCTCAGTCTGCCATTGCTGCTGCTATCTTGCCAGAGCAGCCTAAGAAACAAAAGAGGTAATGTATTTTGATCTTAAAATCAAGCTGTTTGTCTTCAACATGGTTTTATTGCAGCCGAAGGACAAGCACAGCAGCATCAATGGTGAATTCTCCTGCCAACTCGACCAGTTCTACTTCCGCAATGACTACGTCCACCATGCTCTCAATGACCGTCGAACCCTCTCCTCCAGCCGTTGCGACTGACGAGGTGTATGAAAATATTACAGACGGGAATGCCGAAAGTAGTGATTGGGCATATGATCCAAATGAGCCTAGATACTGCTTTTGCAACCAGGTGTCCTATGGAGACATGGTTGCTTGCGATAATGAAGATGTGAGTATCTGAAATTGATTTTTGTTGTGATACTTTTTTATTTCAAATGCATCTTTTTATTGAATTACACGGATGAAAAAATTTACATCTTAAAATTTTTCGTTATAATCCAGGAGACTTTTGATCATTTTATTTTGATTTCAGTGTCCTTTCGAGTGGTTCCACTACCCCTGTGTGAACATTACGGCGCCTCCCAAAGGCAAGTGGTACTGCCCCCGGTGCACAACAAGTATGAAACGCCGTGGATCTCGCAAATAAGTAGGCAACAGTTATTTCCCTAATGTATGCCCTTTTTGGAATTGTGTATTACGGACTGATGCGGTACACGACAAAACGCTTATTTATCGTTCGTTGGAAGTTACATTTTAACGACTGCTTTTAAAATTGTTATTATTTGGCTCAAGGTTTTTTTCCTAGTAAAGGAGTTCAGCAGTGTAAATTAATTACAATAAATAATTGGATTTATTAATACAAATCATGCAAACAACATATAAATTACTTTCACTCAAAAGTCTATTGCTTTTCACCAATACAATGTTATTTATTAATCAGCACTGCGCAGTCAGTTTCCATTACTTCTTCCACGTCTTGCCGACTGGTTGCTGGTTGGTTTGTCATTTGCCACAGTGATGCGAATTGGCGTGTTTCGCTTCACCTGAGGGTCAGCTTTTCTTTTTAACAACTGCGAACTACTGATGGTTTTTGTTGTGGTCGGCCGACTCGTGGTCGATGTCGTCTTCTGATTGTTGGCAGGCTTGACGTTTGGCTTGGTTGGCCTGGCGTTTGGCTTGGTTGGCCTGGCGTTTGGCTTGTTGGCATTCGCTGGTGGTTTTGATTTCTTGACCTCTATTATCGCGTTAGGGTGGTGCTCTTCAAGGTAACCTCGAGCCATGGCCTTAATACCGGCAAAAGTTTCCTTGCCAGTTGAAATGATTTCACTGGCTGGCAGCAGGAATCCGCTGAGTCCTTTGTCGGGGAGCTCGACTGTGTATGAATATTTAATTCCTGCAACTCCTTTTGCCCAGTCATCTGCACTACCTAAAATATTAAAGTAAAAAAATAATTTTCTTTTATCAATTCAAATCCAGTTTTATAAATCGCAAAGTCGACGGTTGCCCTGTATTTAAAGTAATTCATATTTTTTATATTTTCACCATTAAATTTGAGATATTTAGTTTTTGTTTTTAGTCTTCTTTATTATTTAAAATTGATACTAAAAGTACTTATCTTAAAATAACTAAAATAATATAATTTTTTTTGCTATTTAAACATAAAGTACCTGCAGAATGGTAGAGGTATTTTGTTGTTGGCCCAAGCTTATATTTTGTCCCTCTAATATTGGCAATAGCATCAGTGGCCTTTTTCCCCAAGTTCATTAGGTCGTCGTGGTCAATCACCTTCTCCTCAGTGAAGCTCCAGGGTAAGAGCCACATTTGCCCATATGAATGCAACGTGAGGAAAATCTTGAACTTCTCCTTGTTTTCCATCAAAAAGTCGGCCACGGCCTTCACTTCTGGTTCGGAAAAGGCTTTTGGCCCGGCGTAGGTTTCCGCACATGGACTATCCGACGCTCCCTCCTTGCCCCAATGGAAGTCCCAGTTGCGATTCGGGTCAACGCCGACCTTGTTGTAGCAGAAACTGAACAGGTCGCTCCAAAGGGCGCGACCTTCGTCTTCATTTTCAGAGCGGGTCTTGCGCCAAAGACGGTCTGTGGTGTGCGAATACTCGTAGCCGTCAGGGTTTAGCACGGGCAGAATGTACCAGTCAAAGGAGTTGACTATCAACCGGTTGGTTTTTGAATACTCGACCAGTTGTTTGATCATATAAGTCGTGACAGCTGGGGAAATCCACTCTCGGGCATGAGTACCTTAAAAAAAATAAAATATTAATCTGCTCCAGATATTACTCTCGACAGGTGAGATTTTTTACCTCCGTCGATCCAAATCGCTGGCTTGGGCTCGGAATTTTTGGCCTGAGGAGTGGAAATTTTTAGAACCCGCAATGGCAGTCCACCAGTTGATTTTCCAATTTTTATTGTGGAAACCATATCAGGATAATTTCGCTTTAAGTAGTCCATGTAGCCGAGAATGTCTGCATGAGGAAAAATGCTTTTAGCGTGTGGTTAAAAAAATATCAATAAAACCCACCTGTGTATCTGTGGTACCTTCTCCAGGTCAGAGAATGGCCAATCTCATTTTTAAGCGCGTCTCTCCTTTCTTTCGTCATTCGCGGGTTTGCCGCTTCAATCGATTTCTACAACACGCGAAAATAGATTATTTTAAATATAATTTAATAATTTATTTAAATTTTTTAAGAAAAATAATTTTTGCTGATTTGCAAAACAGTAATCTGATAAAAATTATATAGAGAAGAGTAATCTAGTTTGAGGCTATGAGGATAAATAACAGTTAAGTTTAATTATGCCAGAGACAATTTTCAATTATAGTAATAAACAAGAAAATTATCCATGATTCATAAATAAATTTCCTCAGTTCTCTTCCTCAACAAAAGTAAAGTAAGGCACAAGGAAATTCCGTCTGTGTTGGATATTTTTATTAAATACAGAATTTTCAGCTTAATATTTCATTTGAAAATGTAAAAAGAAAGGAAAAGTTTTTCCATAAATTTTCATACTTTCTTCATGACTGTTACTTTTCACTCGGCGCGTTTTAAATTTTGCTTCTGCTTTTGTACCAAGCACCATTATTACACGCTTTTCTTATCGGCGCTTAAAGTGATTCTTCTCTTTTGCGAACTGGCCCTCAGGCGCTGACTTGGTGCTGAAAAGCAGCCGACGATGAATCAGCATCACAAATGCTCTCTTGACGATAGTGAAGGCACACACAGATAATAATTATGATTAAAAGTTAAAAGCGTCGTGTTACGTGCAAATTTTTTTGGATAACCTTGTTACGGTTCGAAAATTGTTTGAGCCTCATTCTTCAATGGCGTGGTGTTTGGATTTACTTTTTTTAATTGCGGCGGCTAGATGACATGGTCTGATTAAAACCACGCACCTCAAATATCCTTTTGTATTTGTTACTCTGGCAAGATTTCATGAAATGAGAAAAAAATATTCAGAATAAATAATAGCTCTTTTGCGAGTATTTTCTTAGCACTGATAAGAACAATGACGCGCTGTAAACCACAAAAGTTTAAGCTTTGGTCCGTGTCATAATAAAAAGATTTTTATGAGAATTCTCTTTGACAATTTGAAACTGTTTAGAATTTAAAAACATAATTTAAATAATGAGTACGATTAAAAAATTAAAATGTAATTTTACACGGATGTAATTTTCTGGTGTGTATTCTAGAAAAAAATAATGTTCTCATGACGCAAGAAGCAATTTGCAAATGGCCTGGTTGAAGGAAGCTATGTTATTTTCAGACCACTAATTGCAGTAGAATAGACGCATCGATCTATGCAGGTGCGGCCACACGGCCGAGAACTTGTGCGTTGACCTTCCGAAACGCGTTTGTAAATAAAAAGCGAGCGAAACTGTGCCTGGCATGCGTTGAGGAACAGCCGATCAGATTAGGCCAGGGCACTAATGATGCCAAGAAAAAAAGTCGGGGCCTAACCTCGCACATTTTATTAATGATATTTACCGTTCTTTTCTCTCATCATTTTTGTTTCCCACATATGTATGTGGGAAGAGACCCAGGAATTTTTGTGTCGAATACGGCACGATATTGGCACGCTCAAGAAGGGTCATAAGCCATAACAAGTGAGAATAAAAGGAAATTTTTCAACTTAAAAAATTAAACACTCAGTCTCCACACTGCTAATGTGCCAAAGAAAAGATGTTTAAAAAGAAATTACATGTAAATATTTTTTTTTATAAAGTATATTGTTTTTTTTAAATCTCATGATTTTAATTTGCCTGTTGCGGTTTTCATTTTTTTTTAAGAAATTCCTTTTTTAATCCCAATTTGCAATTATAAATAATGTATAAATAATGACCAATGACGTAATATTAGGCATTATATTCTAGACTGAATGAAAAAAGGGACGTAACACTTCATGAATAATCATAATGTGTTTAGTGATTCTAGAAATTTGATACTGTAAACGGATTTTCAAAGAAAAGCACAAAGCTTGTCACGTTTTTCCTTTATCGAAAAAAATATTTTTCTTTTATCGGTATACTATTTTCTGATATTTTTCCTCATTTTAATGTTTGTTTTTTTTACATTTTCTGCTTGAAGTAACTGAATTTTAAAAAAATTAAAAGGAAACACGTGCATTTTTTTTCTATTTAAAAAGAGCTGATATTACGTAAATGCGTTCCAATTTTTAATCTTTGTCCGCATAGTTATCTGTGGTAGACTACTACGTTGGCTTTGCGGTGGATTTGACATGGAAAATTAATTCTTCTCGGGAGGCACTTAGCCAAATGAGCAAACACACAATGTAGCTGTATGTTTGCTCTTTGGAATAACGTTACATTTTTAGTCTCTTTTCTCATGCAATCAAGCGAAATGAGACAGAAAAATATACTACAAAGATCTAGTATATTCTCTATTATATGGAGTGTCGCGCCGATCTTTTCCTGATTACGGCTCGATTCGCCTGGTCGCCACAACTCTGCCGTTAAGAACACTGACCTGCAGGTCTGGCGAGACCACTTCGTAATTGATTTGTCGCTCCTTGAGAAAATCTTCAATCACATCTACCATCCCTGGAGGGACGATGAAGTCGCAGCTTTCGTTTCTGGCCGTCGGACGCTTCCAGTATGACACTTTATCAAAGTCTTCTTCGACTGTGTTCATCTCGTCCAACTGGTCCTGCGACCTAGGGGTCGCCCTGTACAGGCGCCACCTAATTGGCACATAAAAATAATATGTGAAATAAAAATGAATGCTTGAAGTTTCCAGAAAAAAAGAATAAATTTTACAATAAAAAAATATGTCTCCTATATATTATACTGTCTTGTTATGAACCAAAAAGACCCACATTTTTATTTGAAACATTAAAGATGAACATAAAATTATTTTTAATTTAAATAATTATTAAAAGAAAATACAATCTTGCTGATGTTATGAACATTATTTAAGAATACCGCAATTCATTATTTATCCCTGGTATATTTTTTAATTGCCAACCAATTTAATTTTTAATATTTAGGAAAATTTAATAAATATTATAAAATAACTGTTTAAAACATCGCAGATATATGTAGATTATAAAACAAGTTTTAATTCAAGTTCTGTTATAATTTTTACTATAAATTACCTATATACTAACCATGATTATATAAAGTTTTGGAGAAAAATTAATATTTACAAATTATATCACGATCAATTAATAATATGAATAAATTTTCAGATTATTTTTGGTACCTTTTATAGAAAACTCTCTTGTACTTTGGTGGCTGCTTTGATTCCTTGACTTCCGCTTCTTCGTCGCCGCCAAAGACGGACTGAAATCCGCTTCGGAAGAATCCAAAGATGGAGTTGAAAAAGGAGCCGAGGGAGATCTCGTCATCGTCCTCAGTCTCCTCGTCCTTAGTCAACTTATTGTCTTTGAGGGCTCTGCTGGCGGTGGAGGCGGACGGGGTGCGGTCCTCGCTGGGGGCGCCGGCCGAACAGAGAACACCGGCCGCCGCCAACAAAAGTAAAAACACCAAAAGTTTCATTGCTCGCGATGATTGAGCACTTTCACACGTCAAGTCGGCGACAATGGCAATCGCGCCGCATCATTTGCTCGCACTTTGTTACTCCTTTTGTCTTCTGCTTCTCGGATCAAAAGTAAATTCAGCACTGAAGCGGCGGCGGTTGTGGCCAAGTGGAGAACCCTCGAGTAGTAGGTCACCTCAGGTAGGCTCACAATTCTAGGCCAAGCCCACCGCGCGCGGCCACGCGTTCTTCGGCTGCAGACCAGGAAGCTAACTTGCTCCTCTCCTCGTCTTTGGTTTTACCAAATTTTCAGCCCAGAAGAGGTGGGGGTCTGAATATATAGGTGTTGTTGCCAACAGGTATATTTTTTACAGTTTTTTGTCACTTAAGGAGAGAATATTAATTATCATTTCAGGCGCGCTCTGGCGAGTGGAATGTTTGTATAAATTAAGTTTCACTTGAGTGACTTTTTTGGTATTTTATCTTCCATTATTAAGAGGGCTTTAGTCAAAGGAATTTCAAAATTAGTCAATATGCTCCAAAATGTTTGTATTAAAAGAAAGCTAATTAAAATAATAATTTCACAGCTCTAAATGAAATTTAAAAGGAAAACGCGATATTTAATGCAATTTTTACAATTTAAAAACTTTTATTTTTACTATTGCGTTAAATTTTACTCGTTCTGCTGTAAAGCTCCTGAAACGGCAATGGCCTCTCATATCTGGACCAAGACAGGCAAACGCAAACACACAATGGGGCTCTTCTGCCGCATTCATTTTTATTCCGGATCGCCGCAGTAAAGCACAGATGTTTGTTGGTTGTCTCTCTCTTGGCTTGTGTGTTACTCGGTTACTGCCTTTGCAGTATTTTGTCTCCGTCTTGCAATCAGATGGTGAGCGTGGTATGATGCCGCAACTTTTCTCAGCTTAGGACTCTTTTTTTTTAGTGCCGTACGTTTCCTTAATTAATGTGTTTATTTAGAGTAAGGAAGCGAGTTCATGAGACGAAATGGCCTCATAAAAGCCACTTTGCGTTGACAACTGCTTGTGCTTTTCAATTACTCATTAGCAAATGAATTGATGACCATTGACACGCGTGTATAATTTACTGCATCAGGATGACGTGCAAATTCCGATTCGTTGAACAATTTAACACACAAAAGATGTATCGGATGTATCATGGTTCTAATAATAATAAATTGATGTCCTCATAAATAAAATAGAAAAAAGATCATTTTTTTCAATGAGGAGACAATTTAGATCCGAGAATAAAATAAAAATCGGAGTACAAAGCATCAGGTTTTATTGATTTTGTTATGAAATATGCAGTTAAAATAAAATTTAAAAATAACGTACTGTTAAAAAAACTTGTGGTTGTAAATTTCTGAGCAGAGTTAACTTACTTAGCAAAAAAATGTTATTAAAAAAGCTCATGCTTTTAACCTGTTCAAACCAAATCTGATCTTCTTCTGCTTTTTCTTTTTTTCACCTTTTTTTATAAAAAGCTGTAAAGTGATATACAAGAGCTGGGACGCCGCCTGCTGTTACACCGCTTTATTGGAGCCCAATATATTTTGCAACGGTCCCGTGTCCCTGCGCTTGAAGCTGTTTTGCATATACCCGGTCGTTGGCATGTGCTTCTTGCAAAACATCGAAACATTTTTATATATATGTATGTACATGCGGCAAATGTGTACGACTTTACGGTGACCACTCCTATTATTGAATACAAACCAGTCTGGGCCGCTATTCCTTGCATCATCCTGGTATGGCTACCTTGACCTCCATAGTCCATACGCGTGATTTTTTTTGTAAATTTCATTCCAGCAGCGTCTGCTTATTATTATTTTCCGGGACGACGCGTCAATCAGATCGTTTGTCTTGCGTCGCGCGCAATCAATCAAATCGAAAACGCTTTTGGCATTATTTTTTAAAAGCAATTTTTCACGCTCACATGTCTATGGTTCAAGCAAGTGCCACTTTTGCGTTACATTTTTTCCGTGTGTTTATTTTACACAGGATGTACAGTTAGAGGAGAGGATGTAAGAATTGGTGGTCACGCATTATTTTTCTATTGCAAATAAAAGAGGTTTTGTTGCCAGCAGAATTTTTGCTGCAATATTCACTTATTTGCAGAGGACGTATAAATTTTTACACCTGCTATGAAAAGACGGAGATTGCGGATATAAACGGGAATTAAATTACGCCTGTGCGTGTATGCTGTACAACGCACGCTGGAGGCGAGCGAGTTGCCTATCTTGAGTTTTTACTAAATAAGTACCACTTTTGATAAGGAATTCTGACGAAGTCATATTTATTTAAAATGAATAATTTATCATCGTGTAATTATAAGAATGTGCACAAAACCTTTATTTATCCTTGGGGTCTTCAATGGCCGCCTTGGCCACTTCTCGCACGGCCGCAAACATTTCCTTCCCTGTCAGTTCAATTTCCGACGGAGGAAGAACGAAGCCATAATCTCCTGCGTCTCCTAACTCAGCCAAAAATGCGAACCTGACGCCGGCTTTCTCATGCGCCCAGTCCATTGAGCTACCTAAAATTTTTATTTCCATAAGAAGAAAAATCTTACAAAGAATTTATTATGAAGGCATAGTAATGAAATTTAAAACAAGTTTTAATTAAGATTGCGTATTTTTTTTTTAATAAAATTTAATAATAAGTAATTTTTTTAATTCAGCGAGAAACTGTTTTGAATAAAAACAATTTCAATTGAAACTTTTATTAATTTATTTTTAATCGCTAGAATTAAAAGTGAAATTTTAGCACTTAATTCTAAAAATTTTAATTAATCTTCTTCTGCTTTTTTACCTGAAATCGGATAGAGAACGTTGTGGATAGAGCCAGTTTTGTAAGTGTGCCCGCCGACGTCCTGAATAGCTTCGACCGCCTTCAGGGAGACCTTCCTGAGCAGCAGGTCGTGCTGCGACGGATTTTCACTGTGGCCCCACGGCATCAACCACAGCCGTGAGTACGAGTGCATAGAAAGATAGGCAGCAGGGGCCAACTTCAGGATAAAGTCGGAGGCGGCTCTTGAGAGGAAAAATTATTTATTAATATAATGCGCGACTGCTAAAGAGGTCTTATTGTTCCACGAAATGCCCTCTTGTTACCCACACTTTATTTATTGTTTCGCGGTCGCTTTCAATTAACAAAAAACGAGCACTACGCTTTTATTGCACCATCATTCTTTGGATTAATAATGTGTGGCTGCCTAATAGGTTATTGTTGTACGGCAAAGCTGCCTACTTTAGCCTGCGTGCGGTCCAAACATTAAAAACTTTTACCTCTGTATAAGAGTGTTATAATTTTTTTGTTGACACGATTGAATATAAAAATATAAGCAAAACGCTCTAATTTAAGTTTTACAACAAGACTAAATAATAATTCTAAAGAAGTTTTAATTTCTATGCTATTTTCTTAGCTATATATAAGTGCCACTTCTAATCAAAAATCTAATTAATAGTTCTACCCGCTATACTATTTTAAATTATTTTTTTACAAATGTTTGAAGAATCAAATTATCCCTAATGGTACAAAATAAAAATTTATACTGACTTTGTCTCTGGCTCCGAAAAGGGTCGAGGCCCTGGGTAGTTGTGGCTGCAGGGATCTTTCGAGGCGGATCTTTGTCCCCAGTGGCTGTCCCAGTTGCGGTTAGCGTCAACCCCGTAGCACGAGCGGCTCCTTTTCGAGGCAGACTTAGTCGCGTTAGCGGCTCTTTGCAGCGAACGGGTTTTGCGCCACAGCCGGTCTTTTGTGTGCGAGTATTCGTAGCCGTCAGGGTTGAGCACCGGCATCAAATAAAAGTCCATTTTGTTCAGCAGACCAGCGTCCTTTTGTAGCTCGCGGATGACGTATGTCACGGCCGCTGGAGAAATCCATTCCCTCGCGTGGATGCCTGGCAAATGGATTGGAAAAATGTGGAAATTCATATAAAAATGTGGAAAAATGCAGACATATTTTTGCTTGTGTGCGCCAAAAGCCTTAAGTTGTTCTTTTTCGTAAAGAAATTCTTGTTAAAAAATTTTTTTTTTAATCCAGAAAATTACAATTCCATAATTTTCCCAGAATCAATTATTATTATACTATTATTAATTATTGTTTTCAAAAAAATTCGTGGGGCTTTTAGCTCTTAAAGTTTTCCTAGTATTATAATTATTTTGCGTCTTAGAAATGCTTGGGAAACGTTTTGATCTGAAACATCTCCAATCTAGCTGGCAATTAGTCTAGTAAATTTAAGCAATGGAAAAGTTACTTAAAATTCTTGCAGGATTTAAAGTTTGCATTTGTTTAATTAACAGACCCATGCATGAATTCTTTTCCAATTTATGAATACATGATTTTTTTAATTTTTTTTAAAATTAAATCTTGTAATTACCCCCATCAATCCACATCGCTGGTTTATTGAGCTGCGAGTTCCTTCCCAGTTTGAGCACCAGCAAGTCGCGGCCTTCCGACGACTTGCCGATGGTCTTGACCTCAGCCACCTCAGGGTGTTGGCGCGCAACCTGGTGCATGTACGCGTAAATGGCTGCAAATTCAAACATCTCGGTGTGTTAGCGTCTGATTTCATTCTGGTCTATTAAATTAAGCACGCACGAGAAGCATGGTGATTATTGTGCATAATTCAATTTTAATCACTGCGTTTCAAGTGCAACGTGATTATCCTCAGGGTTTCCGAAGTTCCCCCAGCCTATCTTTCGTCAAAATAAAAAAAGAAGCAACGGTTGCAATTAGATCGAACGCAGCGGCAATTAAGTGCAAACTGGGCGCACCATAAATCGATTAAAATGAGCAAGTTTCTTGCAGCGACAATTATGTGCAGCAGGAACAAAAAAAGAAGAAAAAGGTTGCGAGAAAAACACATGCTATTTTTAGCGATTGCACCAGGATTTTCACTGGAATAAACGGCAATTGACTTCCTATAAACAAATTGGGATGGCTTTGCTCATTGTCAGATGTACAGTTGAATGAACTGCAGGAAATAAATAAAAGCAAAATTAAATAAACAGATAGTCAGTAACGTACAAAGGGAAAAATTAAAACATATACATGTGTTAATTGGTAATATTAGTTTTTTTTTTATATATAGTTTTCCCAAGGAATTGTTTCCTAGTTATAAAATAAAAACTTTACCTGAGAGTCTGTGGAATTTATCCCAATGGAAAGAGTGTCCATTTTCAACGTCATCAGCATCGCGCAGAGACGTAACCTCGTCGTTGATTGCGCTCTGCACAAAAAGTGAAAATGGTCTGCTTTAACGAGAGCTGAATTGAGGACCTTGTCGATGGCAAAATAATAACAATAATCGCGAGAGTGTGAGTTAATGAGGTGTCTGTCCCCTGCTAACATCGAAACGCTCTTTAATTGGACAGCGACAATTAAAAAAAAAAATAACAAGCTTTGGTCGATGTGGGCCATAGAGCGCTGGTTGGGATTTCTCGCCTTTTTCAAACGAATAGAAAGCTGCAGCACAAACATGCTACTGTATTTTTAGCCGGGTGGTCTGCAACGTGCAAAACACGCCAAACGTGATTTGCATGCGCAATTTTGAAGCGAGAGCTCGTGATCAACTTTGGGCATTGCTCTGGCTTAGTTTGCAAATTAAGCTTTTTTACTAGTATGCTGCACTGAATTTGAAACGAATCACGCCCATGATATAAAACAGAAAGAAGCTGGAATTAAAAAGTGATTTGTGGTAAATTAGGCCTCAGCAAAACATAAACAAAATCAATAAGAGAGTAGAATTATTAATTAATATTCCCAATTTAATGGTTTAAAACTAAGAAAAATGAAGGTAAAAATTCATTTCAAATTAATTAACTAGTACAAAATTTAATTTTGTTTGTTTGTTAATTACCATGTTTTTTTTCTCTTTTATAAAATTCAATTTCCTACTATACCTATGTAGGAGTGGCGAGTGTAAATTTAAAATTTAATTTTACTACCAATATTTTGTAGCTGAATTTCAACTGTTTTATCTCTAATAATAGTTTATTTATTAATGCATTAAATAGTATATCTGAAAAAAAAATATTTGCCAACCTGCAAGTCTTGGATGACAACTCTGAAGTCAACGCCCTTGTCCCTCAGTCTTTTTGTCACCCTCGCCACAGACCCTGGTGCCACCAGAATCTGAGCAACGAAATTGCCAGTGGCGTTTTTCTGCGCCAGCCAAAACTGGACACCCTGCTTGCCCGCTAGTCTGATGACCGTCTTCCTCTGGCGCTTCGAAACCGGGGCAACCGACATCAGTTTGTACCCCTTGTAGGATACGGCGCGGTCGTTATCCAGCGAGACGTCGTCCTGCAACGCTTCCTGGTCCAGCGCATCTTCATCCGAACCGCTTCCGTGCACATTCTACACGTTAATCCATATTTAATTCGTGTGAAAATTTTAAAGACATAATAATAAAAGAGAAGAACTTAATGGAGTAAAACACAGTAGGTTAATTGGTCATGTAATTGAGTGTGATTTGGCGGAGGTATAATAAGTCTAAAGATACCTTTTTATAGCTTTTTCTCGGTACTAGAGAGCAGTATTTTGATGATTGAGAACTAGCATAAATAGCAATAATTATTCCTAGGAAGGAAGCATATATTTTTTGAAATTGAATTCTAGAATTTTTTAATAAAAAGAAAAATCAAAACTATGAAAAAATAGGTAAAAATAATCACTTACTTTTAATAGTTCAAACTTCAAACCATAATTTGAATTAAATAAATATTTAGAAAATTGGCAATTTAAGAGATTTCTGAACAAAGGAAGCTCTTGTATTGTGCAAAGAGAAAATTTCACTCAAAATTTTGCCGGCAGCGGACCAGCTCGAAAGTAAAAGTTGCTCGCGAATGCCAAATGAGCAGTCCGAGGGCAAGAGGAGAAAATTGTTGCAAACCGTGATTAGCAGAAGGGCGGCCAGAAGGGCGACGAAGAGGACGGCGGCCCTAGAGAAGCCCATTGCGTTGCAGATGAAAGCAGAGAGCCGCGGCTCAACCAAGTGAGAAAAGCGAGCGACTAATCGACCTTTCCTTCCTACCCGATGAGAGACAGACTGACTGACGGAACACACCTGAATGCGAGAGTTAGGGGGTCAATTCACAATTGCGTGACGTCACGGTGGTCTCGAATCCTGTGTGTGTTTATTAATGGCAGGTTTTGTTTCCTCCTCCACTTCTGCATGCAAGTCGGCGGCGGTCTGGTTATTCGTTCGCGCATCTAATTTCTCCGCGACTGCCGCCGCCGCCGCGGATTTCTAATGGTTCCGCGAACACAACAGACACGATACACACTTCTTCTTTAGGTTTTAATTTATTGATCTTTCGCGCGCACCTTCCGCCCGCCACGATGTATTTCGTAACATCAGAGTGGGAGTTTATTGCGATAATGGGGTGGTTGCTGTGCGGAGGCGGTTCGCGGCACACAAGGAAAATCTGGTGCGGTGCGGAAAATTTCCTGGAAAGCGATATCACAACCTTAACTGCACGCAATTGTGGAATTTTATTAAAGTTTCCACTTTCCGGCTTTTTCAATTTTTTTACCATTGAATAAAAAATACAACAAATTTACAATTATTAAGACCTTTCTTTTTTTTTAACAAGGTAAAACCCGGTTGCAGTTTTAAGTTTTTTTACTCATGAAGTCTGCCTGGAGTTTTTTATCTTTCAATTTGTACCATCCGTGTTTATTAGGATCAATTAATGATAAGATTATTATCAATGAACGAAACAAATTTCCCACAAGAATTCAAGTTCCTCTGATTTAGAAAAATTTTCGGCACTTGATTTTGCCGGTATACACTCAAAATTTTATATAGTATTTTTTATTTTTATTCTTCTATCAAATTTTTTTCAATGGAAAGAAAAATAAAAACATTGAAAACATAAAAAAAAAGAAAACAAAAAGCAGATGTCTACAAAAACACATATCCTTCGCTGTGGAAAAGAATGGAAAATTGGAGAAAAAAGCAACTGGAAAAAAGGAGAGCCCTTTAATAATTAAAACATTATTATGAAAATTTTTAAACGTGTAGAATCTCTCCATGTATTTGCAATTCCACGTATGGCACATAATAAAAAAATTGATGTTATGTATAATTCTAACCCAGTTTAATTTAAATAATATTTACCAAAATAAAATCTAATTGCTTTGGATGACATTATCTTGTAAAGAGCAAAAAATCTTAAAATAAAAAAGTCTCCCCGGCGGGGAATCGAACCCCGGTCTCCCGCGTGACAGGCGGGGATACTGACCACTATACTACCGAGGACTTATTATATACGTTAAAAATATGAATACTTAACCCAAGTTAATTCAAGGTGGGTACCGGGAAATCTTGATTTAGTTTTGTAAAACTAGCAAAGCTTTATTTTATTTAAAAAAATTTAGCTCCATATGGTGTTTAAAGCAATTAATATAAGCTGTGAAACTTATCAAAAATTTAATTAAAATATAAAAATTAAATTTTCAATAAAAAAAATTAAAAGGCGGAACATGCGGAACTATTGAAATCAGCATCGGTGCAATATCTCAGTTTCATTGTTTGCATAGATGTGAGGCAAGCAAACAATTATTATTACTCTATAAAATCTATGAAGCCCCCGTTCGCTCCAGCACTTTTAAATAGTGCACGGATGACCCGCCCTCGACACAAGCCTCCATAGCTCAGTGGATAGAGCACTGGTCTTGTAAACCAGGGGTCGGGAGTTCGATCCTCCCTGGGGGCTTTTTTGTCACCAACCACGGAGTTCGAGTAAGTGATCATAAGTTTCATAAGCTTCTAATTGCAGCACTTGCAACTTTCTTTTCCGTTGTCGTAGGCAATTTGGCAAAGAAAATAAAATATTGCTCCGCATCAATCGACGTTTCGAGAAATCTACAACAGGTGGCGAATAATGGAAGAGCGGTGCCAAGGTTAGGAAAACAAGGAGATAACACGAAAAAAGCGTGGTGGAAGATAAGAAAATCATGTGATGAGCAAGACTTTATTTTTTCTTTAGCTATAAAATATACTCACAATTCATGATGACTGAAATTTAAAAAAAGTATTTTACCGCATTCTAACCACTATGATAAAATTAATAAAAATAATGTAAGAAATGATGAAGAAGAAATACTTAATTAAAAAATTAGTTGCTAAGATTATTTAATTTTCAGTAAACAGTGTAAATATTATTTTTTTAAATTAATTGAAATTAATTGCACGAGAATATAATAGTTTACAAAGCATTAGTTTTCTAGCTCAATTTCAACATTTCATATTTATGTATGTATTAATTTAAGCCAGTTAATAAGCTTCATTTTATTTTTCACAGCTTTTCAATGAATATTGCAACCAATTGTGACGAACACCACTACAAATTTCAAGGATGCTAATTCAGATAAACATTAAAAAAAAAAATTATAATTTATACATAAGCAACTTGTTTGGGGACACAACGATGGGGCAGGAAAAGGAAACTGTGGTATTTTTTCCTTCAAGTTTGCGTTTGCCACTGCAACGCAGAACGCACACTACAATAAAAACCTCGTAGAGATTTCTTTTCTGAGACTTTCCTATCAAGCGGAAGCTCAAGTCTCTTTCCAACACACACCACATTCATATATAATTTCGTACACTTTTTATCTTGAAGCGTCAGTCGCGCGTTTATCCCGTTCACGCATTGACACTTCTACTCTATTTAGATTTTTTCATAAGGATAGGTCGAAAATGGACCCCTCGGTCGAAGCGTCGAAAAAGGGGGCCAAGCCGAAGGTGCCGCCGAGACCAATCAACCTGCTGCACCTGGGGAGTCCGGGGTCTCTCAGCCCCCTGCCGAGTCCTCGAAAACCTCCCCCGAGTCCGGTGAGTCCCAGACCGCCATCGATAGAATCAGAGAACCGGAAATCGTCGTCCAGTCCACCAGTCAGTCGTTTGAAGCAACGCTTCGGACGTCTCTTCTCTTTGGGGGGCAGCTCAAGTCAGCCCCCGAGCCCCACGTCATCGGACAGAAGCCCGAGTTCAGACGGAGCCACATTTGAAGAACTAAACTCGCCGGGCCGGACCCGGAAAAACAAGAGGATGGCGTGGGCCAGTTTTTCGTCAGATCCTGGAAAGCCGCAGAGCCCAATTTTTCCCAGGAGGAGCAACTGGAAGTCGAAATCGGATTCGGCTAAAGTTGTCAAGGCGATGCGACAGTGAGTATCTAAAAAAATTGATGTATAAATTTCCCATGTAAAATGATATAAATGATATTGATGTTTAGTTTAAATTAACAGGAAAATGTCCCAACAAAGCTGGGATTTTTCTATTTTGAAACGGAAACATAAATTAAATAAATTTACTTCTATATCACAATATTAACCATAAACTTTTCCGTTAAAATGCTAATCTTCACCACACAAGTGCAATTGCACTCCATTGTAATCAAACCGCAATGTCGGTAAAAATTTCAAAAGAGTTTTTAGGAAACAATTAACTTCTGCTTTAAATTTTTTATAATTAATTTGTCTTCAAATAATCTCAGCATACTATAAGGCTAAAAATTTATTATTTAAAATAAATCAGGTTTCTAAATTTTACTGGGGAGTTTAAAAAAAATGAAAATCTTTTTTCATAATTATTTTTATTTTTCAAAACGCAGTGGAAGGTAATACACCTTAATATTAACAAAGTTTGGTAATGCCTTGCCAATTTTTATAAAAAGATTTTCATCAGTGGTGTTTTTGAGCGATTTATTTTTATTTATAGAAAAAAAATCATATTGAGCATGTTTCGGCTACAAAAGATATTATAAAATTTAATATTTTGTTTTTTAAATAATTATCTAAGTGGAAAATAAATTTTTTTGGAACACGTAAATATTTTATATTGCCTATTAATAAATCGCACTATTTTTCCAAGCCAATAAATCTTCTCTTATTATAACCATTTTTCATCTGTAAACACTTTTGCAGTGGTGTGATCAACCCTCAGACGCCAGCCATCAGGGTGTACAGCCTGTCGGAAACAACGGCCGCAGGGTAAGTGTTACTAAAAGCTTTTTCACTCACCGTCGTGCCTGTCCTTTTTGCCCCACATTGTTTGTGCAAACATCACGTGCCGGGTCACAATTAAAATTAATCAAGGCGGCTCTTCATTATTTATGGCGCGCGGTCTGAAAGAACGGCGTTGTACCTATTATGGGGTATGTACATATGCATGTATATTTTCAAAGGTCGGTGTGGGTATGCCCCTGGTAATAGCGCCCCAGCCCCACAATACACCCTTGAAGGCTTGAAGGCCTAGCTAGTCTTAATAGTGACAAGAGCGGAAAATACGCCAACCAAGGCAGCGCAAATTTGCATTCACCTGCTGCCTCCGTTTGCTGAAGAATGTGTGTAGAATAGGGGTACATGTTCAAGTGCGAAAAGCCTCCATGATCTCGCTTCAATTGCGACCGAGGAAGTTGAGGCACTTTTGCGTTCGGGATGTCTACATATAATCTCCTAGGGACTCGTTGCCAACTAAATTCATGCTAACTCGAAATTTGCCGCAGTTTTGCTCTGCGGCAAACTTATTCCTATCAGTGGATTTCACTTCAATTCATTGAAATTTAACTTGTGAGTAAAATTTATTGTTCAATTACTGAAGTAAAGCAAGGTAACTTTGAAAATTTTACTGTCCGATTCGGTCGAATTAAAAGTCAATAATTCAAAAGAAAAAAAGTATTTTTCCTTTGATGATAAAGCCTTTTTTAATTAACGAGGTCAAATCCTTAAATAAATTGAATTTGATAGTTGAATGTAAACCATGTAAAGTAACAATGTGGATAAATAAACAACAACAATAATAATAAACGATAATAAAATTCTTTAAAAAAAGTCTTCTTGAAAAAAACCTTTTTAATATTATTATCTTGATTCAAGTGACCCTTTGGTAAATAAAATCATTATAATTATCGGCATTAATCAGGAAAACTTTTAATTTGAGGCGGCAGTCATTTTTGTTAATGACCTGATAGTTATAGTTTACAAAAGTTTCTTTTGATATCATAAAAAAAGCAAACAACCTATTCTCCTTAGGGGTCAATGTATTTCCAGGGTGAAGTTCACGGGCAAGGCAGAACTAATAGCAAAGGCCGACTTCCTATTTGACGAGACTTAAAATTACTTTGGACACGCGATCTGCAAGCGAGAATAACATGATAGGGTGGGGCAGACCTAAACAATGATATCGTGCAATTTATTCTAATTTCAACCCTCAAAACTACATAAATTTATAATAATGAGATTGCTACTATTACTCTAAACGACCATCAATAAAGCTTGTGATTGAAAAGAGTTAAATGAATAATAAATAATATTTATTTATTTATTTTAATTTGACATTTTTTTACATAATAAGGATATTGCAAAATTAAGCGCACTACGTATTTTATTAAAAACTATATGATTATACAAAAATTATTGCAGAAACTGCAAATTTATGAATAATTTCTTGGCCTAAAGGAATTCGATATTGGTTTCCGTGGAGGGTACATATAGAATTTGAAATGACCATCGCATGCTGTGCCATAGTAAGTCAGAGGCAAGGTCGGAGTGAACGGCCGCTAGAGTAACAAAAGTTATGAGATAGTGAGATTGAGATTATTCGCGATAAATTTTCCGCCTCGGCTGAGAAAAGCTGTAGGTGAAATGTATTCAATAAACTTTGGAATGAGCGAGGAGAACGCGTGGCATTTTATTGATGGATGGAAGTTTAAATACAGCGAGCGGAGCGTGGTATGCAGCCGGCCGTGGCTGGAGAGTGAGCGGCGCAGCATCTACTCCAGGAAACTTCGGCAAACTATTTTGGCAAAAATGTATGCAGGCAAAATATCCACCATCGCAGCATATAAGTGTCCTAAGTGGATGATAAAATATGCAGAAAACTTTTCTACCAACAACCGTGCTAAAATTTTCATACTGGAAAAAATAATCAAAATTAATGGAAAAACCTCAAAATTTATTTTTAAGCCAAAATGTATATATTTTTTTAATTCAGATCAAGAGTTTGCTTCCATGACAATCTCCATAATTTAAATTATAAAAGATATTAAATTCATAAGAATGAATCAGTTTCTTTGTGGAGATATGAAATTAATTGAATAATTTAAAGATTTTAAAATAAATAAGAGATATTTATAAACTCTAATATTATCTCTTTTATGCTGCTAAATATAGAATGTTTGGTGATCTTCATTGATTGTTAAAATGAAATATAATATATGTTGCATTTATATTGTGATTTAACTTGGTAATTACCAGAAGCAATTTGAGAAAAACGAATTTACAAGTGGCTCAAAAATAAGAGCCTAAATTAGGATGAAATTCGGTTCTCTACAATTATCTTGCTTAAAATAAATCACATCCCGCAGATTCAGAGAAATAATATTCAATAAAGATGCAAGTAAAAATAGAAAAATGCAATAACAATTATTGTTATGTTTTTAAGAGTTTTGTGAAACAACGCTCTTGACGGTTGTTGAACCAACAAAACGCTCTTTTATAAATGGATACGAGCCCTTCAAAAACGCAGCGCCGTCGGAAAAATCTATTTCTGGCTGTTTTCACACACACTCGCTGGCACAGCACTTGAGCGCCTAATTTCACCAAAAATAATTTGGCTCGCCGCACACCGTGTAATGTCCATACTGATTAATGAATCGAGTGCGGCTCGAAACTTCAAAAGATGGGGGGGGAAAAATGCTATAAACCGAAAGTCAGCAAGTCAATCATTGGTGAATTATTAGTTCCTCTGGTGTGTAAAGAAGAAGCAGTTACTTTCCGCCTTTGTGTGTATGCAACGTCACAGCTGCTGAGTCCAGCAAGTTGCCTAGCGTCCATTGATTCTACAAACTGCGGGTCACGTTCAGAGAAAGGAAACATACTCACGTGCTGGGTCTGACCTGTAATGCGGCAATCAGCATCTGACCGCATTGCACAGAGTAAAATATTTGGATCGTTTGGGTCAAAAAAGGAGATTTATGGGCTGGGAAACTCGGATGATTGAATATTTTTGGCTCTTGAGTTATTTAAGCTGGAAGCATAAAATCTCCACTAAAACAAAAAAAGTCTAGGTAAACGCCAAAAACCGTCTATAAAGATAAAAATCCAAACAATTAATTGCTTTATATTGCATAAAAAAGGTAAATCAAATCAAGTCAAATAATAAAAAAAAAAAAAAAAAATAGATAAAACTTCTTATTTGTCACTGAAAAATGTATCTAGCTCTGCAATGAGAAAAATCTTACAAATTCATTAATTTTCAAGCGGTTATAAGAAGTAGAATGATAAAGTCATGTGCGTGTTTTTTTTTTTTTTTTTTTTTTTTTTAGAAATTTGGAGAAACAGGAGGATATTTCTGAATAAAAGAAAATTCTTCTTCGATAAATAATTTATAAAATTCGTCTTAAAAATAAACCCATATTTTTTATTTTATTTAAATTAGCTTCTTTAATATTACGTACAAATTGTGTGGCTTTTAATATGCGAGCAAGTTAAGTTATTTAAACACAACTAGACCTAGAAAAATATTACAAAGCACTAATTGTGGTTCAGAGAGCATGGTTAAAAAATTTCGCTTAGCTCTCTTATGTAAAAGTTTGCCAGCCCTAGAGATTTCCGATTTCACGGGGGCCTCACAAAAAGGATGTCATTTATAAAGAAGCGTTTTTCCCGGATGAAGAAAATTGTTGTTTTCCGTCATCAGGCCACTCACTCAGGGAACGCCTTGAACTCTCAGTTCCCAGTGCATCGCATCATCATCAAAGGAAAATACGTATACGTGTGCAGATAAAAGCGAGCTCTTGTCACATTGCAGCATGTAAAGAGAGCGCGACACTCACTTGCGCCTAATTAAAAAGCGTCGCATATATAAACATAAGCAGCCCGAAGGGAGAAATAGCTGCGTGTCGTGATTAATTGCGAAAGTTTCTCCTCCACCGTGAAATTAATTTTGACGCATTTTTTTATGCCAGTTTTGTTTAATCTGAGCGGCTGGTGGCAAATTTCATTTTCCTCCCGCTATATGTATGGAAAAAAGATAACGGTCTCCATTTTTTTGGAGCCGAGAAACTCATTAGGCTGAGCTCTCGGAAAAAGTAGTGGTGCAGGGTGGAAAAGTAAAGGTCTCGCCGAGGCATTTGAAAGTGCTGTGTGCTTTCGGTGGGCGTCAACACGCGTCTCTCCGACAGCAGTCCTGTCATTATCTCGGGGCGGGAAATGTATGTATGTATGCATGTGCGCCTCGATGAAAAAAGCAGTGCGTCCAGGGAGCGGATAAAAAAGTGGAAACAAGCAAGGGTGTGCCAAGTTGACGCGCGCGCGATTTGCGTAATTGGCGACTTGGCTTGGGTTTCGCAGTTATAATGGAGCGGAATTGCGCAAATTTTCCACCTCGTCCACAGTGAAAAATGAAAAACTTTCTTGTTTACTCAACCACATCGTTCAGTCCATTCGTCCACATGCCGGGAATTATTAAAATAAAGAAGTGCAATTAATACTTCATACTTGACATAATTGGTCATAATTTAACTCCTCATGCAGTTTTAATTTGTGTTCTTTTTTCTCTCTTCTCAAATTTTGTAGTTTTCATTTATGATTTTTTTAATCTTTGGATTATGTATCTCGGTATAGGCAAAGATTGCCTTGTGGCACCAAAAAACTTAATTTGCAACTAAATTCTTCAGTTGTTAATGAAAACATTGAACAATTATAAATAAATTATAAATTATAATTCAATGTTTTTCGAACTGGCGAGAATTTTAACCTGCAGAATTATTTCATTTCATTTACTTAATTATAACGTTTAACACATGTGTATGTATGAAAATATTTGAGTTTAATTTTATAGGGTATCTAAATTATCCGCAAAAATTAGAAATAAATTTTTTTAGAAAAAATCCATCATCATGTTTATGTAGGTTTAAATTACATTTAAATTCATACAAACGAACTCTCATTATTTTAATTAAGCTCAGTCAGAATGAATTTTCATTTGCATATCAAAGGGTAGAATTAATTTTCTATTTTTGTCCATTCACAACAGTTTTAAAGGCTGACGTCACGTTATTTTGGGAGCACACGAGGGAAGTAAAAAGGCGCTCAGCTGACAGTGCTCGTTTTGTGATAAAATTTGCATACAATGGACGTTGGCCTTTAGTGTGACGCAAATGGTAACACGAATATTCTGAACCATTACGAGATCCACCACCATGTTCTCATCTCCAGTACCAATTTGGTGCAGCATCTTTCGCAGGAAATGCCGTAAGTCTAGTTAAATAAACATACAAAAATGAATTTTCACAACGAAAATGAAAGTTTCATTCATGAATGATTTAGAGAGAAGAGATAATAAATTTTTAATTACTCTTCGCTTGACTAGGGGCTAAATTTTCTGCTTGACGAATCCAATTTAACAACGCTTCACAGCACATTCAAATTCAAATGAAAAACTGCGGAGATTCTCATTCGTATATAATAATAAATGGGGTTAGCGACAAAGAAAGTAGATTTTCAACTAAATGAGATTGCAATCATGACGGTTGAAAAATCGAAAATACACGCACCACCGGTGACTGTCAATAAAAGACAGAGCGCAAGAGAAGAATGGGCAAAAGTTTCAGTTTCAGCAGCTGATAGAGACACCCCTCGCTCCTCGGGGGTGGAGGTGGTGGTGGAGCGTTGCTCGCGCTGGTGGATCGATGCGGTACGAATATAGGTCAGAGTCAGCTCACTCGGCACCCGCTGCCAAATAACACAGAAAAAGAGAAGCTCTAGGCTCGTCGCAATTTACTTATACTTTCCGGCTGCAGATTTTTCCATTTCCATTTATAATTTGTCAGGACATATGTATTTTTTTATATAACCACTCGCTCGAGCGCCATATGTGAGGGGCGTATTTTGTATGTTTGCCATTCTCTTATACTCGTGCGGCACATAAGGGCTGTTCGCAGGACAAGCGCGGTAATCGCGATAAGAAAAAATGTGCAATGTGTTTCGTGTTTGATCAGCTGATAAGTTCTTGACTGGTTGAAATACAGGGCTAATTTGTTCTGCTTGTGGTGTGAACTACGCAGTAAAAAACTTGAAGAAAAAAACATATCAAGAAAATTAGGCGATAATTGTTTTCAAACAAATAAATTACTCAAAAAAAGATCAATTGGTTAAAAGAGCATTAAACGGTCGTTCTCATAATAACCTTATAATATCAATCTCTATATTACTCATTGAATATTGAAAAATATTAAAACGTATGTATTGGAAATTGCACATTCCACTGGGATATTGGAGAAAAATAAATCATATCTTGGTAAATATTTTCTTTTTTTGTAAACAAAAAATTGCGAATTAACAAAATTTAATAAAATTCCATTATAAATTTTCCTTTCAAATTCAATAAATAACATAAAATTCCGCGATAATCATAATACAAAAAATAATTACGCTCATTATGCTGGAACTGGAGCATTATTATACTTTTCTAACCAAATTAATTTTTTTAAGCTGAAACGTTGCCGAATATAATTTCCTTTTATGAGGACTTTTTTCCTTTTGCAGGTCAACTTTTTTGATGCATAAATGCACAAATTTGAACTATTTTAAAAATTACTTGATACAAGGGTTAAACTTCAGGACTTATTGAAAGCATATTTTTTTTCTACAAATTTGATCCTAAATTAAATGCGAAAACTGGACTTTAATCGTTTTTCCATTTTTCATTCACGTTATTTTTATTTGCCATACATTTTTTAACGTCAAAAAAGTTTGCATGGGCAGGGAAGAAAAGCAGACAGTTGAATAATTTATCACAAAAATGCCTCGACTGTCGCAGTCATGAAAAATTGCTTCTAGAACGTGCGCTATTTCGGTGTTAAAAATTATTCTCGTAAAGAGATATCTAGCGCCACCCTATATGATTAAACTTTTCGCGTGAGTCCTTTTCACGATTGCGACAGGAGGTTTCTAGTTTGCATTGCAAATATCAGCGTGTTTGCAAAACACCAATTTCAAAGCTAATTAAGCAATTTTATTATTTGCGCCGAGCGCATTATTTAATTTCAGCATGAATTGCAAAACGGCCGAGGTGAACGCGGAGTTTAAAAAAATCCATCCCTGGCATGTGCGCGTAAACTCAGTGCACGTGACCATTAACTTTTATTATATTCCACGGGCCATTCAACCTCGAGTGTTCTTGTTGCGATGCACCGCACCGTGGCATGCGAGAGAGTGCTCGACTCGCGGTGCTGGTTGGAAACAGCAAGAAGTGCGTAGTTACGGAAAACCCGAGAGCTGAGCTGCAACAGCTAGAGCGGCAGGAACGATCGAGGGATGAACGGGGATGAAGAGGGAATTCAACTGCTGCGCAATATTCGGTGGCGGGGTGGTGCAGCCGATGCTGTCACTCGGCACGGATTTTGACGCTTCAAAAAACCAAATAATGCGAACAGCCGGAATTAAAAAAAAAAAAAATCGGGGTGTTTGACATGGACACTTTTTTTTCTCACTTGCTGGCTTTTACAATATGTCTTGATCGATAAAATAAAAATGGTGTTCGAATAATAATTTTCAATCTTGAAGAATGTTATACCATAATTTTTTTCCTGAACTTCAATTTTTATTTTATTTTTGTTGAGCCTTACAAAAATTAGCTGCGCAATTTAATAAACATTGAAGTTTATTATTAGTTGCAAATTTTAAATAAGATTATACATTTTTTTAACAATAAACAAGATTATATTCTTAAACTTGCTTAAACTTATTTGTATATTTATATATTTGTTTAATTTTTTTTTATGATATCATTATTTTCTATTGAAAAATGAATAAAGTAGGAATGAAAAAAATTTTATACGCGTTATTTAAAATTATTTTTATAGAAACCGTAGTTATGTACTTATCAATCAATACCAAACTTCAAAGGAAATTCATTTCATCGTTGCCTAGAATTCATATTTTATTTCCATTTATTTTGATTGGATTAAGTATCATTATGAGATAAAAGAGCAAAAAAATATGGAGATCAGGCTCGGAAGAATTAGGAAAGTAATTTAGATGTACATTAAAGAAATAATTTGAATTGAATTTTATATCATTTTCCTTGCGCAACAACTCCAAAGCTCATTCAGCATTGTGGGCATAATGGTGCTCTCGATCCTTTCTAATTCCAACCCGTTCATAAAATGACATTAGTGTTTAACATGACCCGAGAGCCCATATATACCTCAGCAGCAAGTAAAGCCACGTGTGTCGAGCCATAAATTTGCATAATTTACGAGCGCAAACCATATATGAAGTCACAAAATCGATTGCTGCTTTTATTTCATTTACCAAACATCGGTGACAGGGGCCGAAAAATAATAAATATTCTACATTGGTATAGTGATTCGCTTCCTACGCTTGATTGTGCGAAACTCCCACTCTAAACGCAATTAGGACAATACCCAGAAGACCCAAAATAGAAGCAGCAAGTTTTTGTTTGGTCTAAAAATGGGTCCTGTCATACTGTCGACGCGCTATAAATTTCAGTCGGAGAGGCGTTCCGGGAATTAAGTTGAAATTTGCACATCGAAAAAGTTGTCAAGATGATGGAAAAATATGAGATGCTTTTTAAAATAAAAAAAGACTGCATAAAAATTCTCTGAAAATAATAGGAGCATTTTTATAATATACAGCAAATTTAGAATGTGAATAGAATGGCTTTTATTTTTAGAAAATTCATTGAAAACAAAAATTGTATAAAATCCTCAAAATTTGATAATGCTCCCTCAATGATGAACCTAAACTGGAGATAAATGTTGTTGTGAAAATGGACATAATTACCGACAGTAAGAAAATCATGCAATAATCAATTTCTTTTTGTGGGGAAAAACAAAATAATTTTGTTAAGAAATAAGGAATGTTGAAAATATTGAAGAAGGTTTGTGCTGTATTTGGATTTTTTTTTTTGCACAATTCCATTATAATAAGATGAATTTGTATGAAACCAATAAAGTAGTTTTCTTTGTTCTTTTACATTAAAACGTGTCCTTTCATTTCTATTTTCCGTCTTTTGTCCGACACTTCATTTCCATGTGATTTGGCAGTTTTAACTTCAAATTTGATTTTGATATTACAATTTGTTGCGTTTACACAGTGGTTTTGCGCCATAAATATGGTAATATTGTCTGCAAGTTGCTGACATAGGAGATGAAAACTCGGGTCGCGCCTCAAAGGCTTTTGGCCATCCACTTTTCTTTGCATGCACAGCGAAAAATCTCGTCACATTTTCGCACGACGAAAAGAGGCTTATCGATTCGGCGGCCAAAAGAGGTTTTCCGTCGACAATACAAACTCGGAACTAAACTTGTGCTCCAAAGGCTGAGCGGCTTTTTAGTTACTCGGGGGTTTTGATATTAATGAATGCAGCAGCGGCGGCGGCCGCGGAGGCTCAAAGAGCGAGTGGCGCTGGAGGAGAAGTGAGGGGCGCCGCGGCAGGCCTGCCTTTTCAGTGAGCACCACAACACACAGTCAGTCGCTCTCTGGCCCCACACTCACGAGATCGCGATCAGCTGGTGGCCCAAACTGGCATTTACCTGACCAAGTCGCAGCGCTTAAGGCACCCACGCAACCGTAAAGGTGAAAGTCCATTCCGATTGTACATTTTTAATGTGCGATTATATTATTAATTTTTATATTAAATTCCGTATAATTATTTTTTTAACGTCCACTTTAGTTTGAAAAACTCTCTCGTCGTATTTGGTTTGTTGACCAAAATTTAATTTTATAGCTCTTTCTCTTAGCATGCAAACATGACATCTTAAAAGGCATCAATTTTCAATAGAAATCTCATTTCCAAACTCCGCATCATAAAAACTTCGAAGATAAATATTTATGGCAATTTAAATTATAACAATTATACTTCAACCCTTTTGTTGTGAAGAACAAATTGAAATGGTTTTAAACTTCTTGGTACATTTTTTTTTCTCTACGAAAGAATTATTTAATGATATTCAAATTTTAAATTATCAGATTCAAAGTGAATCAAATTACTGTTTTTGTTATATTTTTGACCCTTTTTCATTCTCATTTGAGTGAACAGAAATTAATACTCTGCGCACTCATCAGAAAGCAAAGCCGTAGAGAGTTTTGTTTGTGTCGGTCTCGCTGCTCTCGGCGTAAAACTTGCTTATGTTTTTAGCTCTCTCGCTATACGTGAGCGCAGAGGGATTCCTCTCTTAATTATCGCGGTGGTGCGAGCGAGACATGCAATATTCTAATTAGTATATGGATGGAGGAACGACAGCTAACGGCTGCTAAATATGCACGACCCACGCACAACTCCAACTGATTGTGGGAGCACAGAAGTGAAATAACCGCATTTTCTTTGGCAAAATTCGTGCGTTGATTAAGTGCTGTCAGAGATAGTATCCGTTAGCACGCGCATTGTCCATCATTTGGCCGTGTCAGAAAAATGAAACTCATTAAAATATCGAATATCTAACTGATGAAATAATGTTGCAAAATTATATTTTAATTTTTTTTTATTATGAACTCAAATATAAATACTATTGAATAATTTTTATTATTATTTAATTGTAACAGTTTTATGATTTATTTTGCTGGATTTACAAATTTTAGTTAATTAATTTATAATTTTTATGTTATAAATGAATTTTTTTATGTTCAAATTTTTTTATTGCATAACATTATTTTTACTTGCAATTATAAGGCGAAAATTTAACTATATAATTTCATGAGAGTGGTATATTAGAATATTATTTATGAAGATAACAATTTCATTAAATAAACAGGCTGGTAACTCTGATGAACGTTATTTAATAATCAGAAGTGTATTAAACTGCTAATTCTCCAAAAATCTTAATCGTCAAGAATCAGATATAAATTTGCAAAGCGTGCCTTGCCCTACGCATAAGATGAGCTAAAAATAAACTCAACAATGCCAAGCTGATTACATTCTGTATCATCAAATTTCCGCAAACACATGGTGCAAATTCTCAGCCGGATCCTTGAAAATCATCTCTTGCGAAAATAAGAAGCGCCTCACAATATTGGCTTCTGTCCACAGCTCCTCTGTATAGCCGCGGCGATTTTGCTCCTTTTACTCACTTGGTGTGTTTGTTGATTCAATTGATTTTCTTTGAATGTGCAGCCAAGCAAAAATTCCTGAGCAAAATCCTTTGATTCTTCCTCCAATTTTGGCCTTTGAAGTGGGCCATTGATCTGCACGCGGCGCCGCACGGGCCTGCAATCAATCATCATCAATTGAATGGCCCACCGCCGATAAAAAACAAAACTGCCGTTCGCCCTCGTCGCAGATAAAATAATATCCTTTGATTCTCTTTCTTCAGGCGCACAAAAGGCACGTTCATATAAAAATCCCGTGAGATAAAATCGTCAACGAGCCTTTTCATCATTTCCTCTATGTGCTCTCGTTTGTCCTGGACTTGACTTGTGAAGAGAAACGCATTTCCATATTGAATTAATTTTTTCGAGCCTTCCCACTGGATGTGCTCTGCAGGTCTCTATATGAAGTCATCACTAATTTTCAAGCTTCTTTTGTTCTCACATTTCTCCACGCTCTCACATACAGGAGGAATAGGGAGAGCAAAGTTAAATGTGCAATAATTAATTCAAACGTAACTGCTTTTACAAACATCAAAACTTTAAAGACTGTTATATTGAAAAGAAGCAGAAATTTTACTGCAATGCGTTTTTTTAATTTCGCAAACATAAAAATTTGATCTTACTTGCTAGTGGCCCAATAAATGCTTTTAAAGTTCACAAATATATTAAAATAAAATTATATATTCTACATTATGTAATTCTTTTAAATTTAGGTTCTCCGCATTGACATTTAATTTTCCTCTGCCTAAATAGTTTTAATAAACAAGAAATAATGTAAATTCCAATTAGATAATTATAAATATTAAAGCTTTTCCTGCAATCCTTATTGACAGTGGCAACTATAAAATTCATCGCAATAATGTAAATAATTTAAAAATTTTATTTTAAAAAACAGTACTATTAAAATTTGTGCTTTAATGATATTATGCGATATAATTACTAATTGAGTCAATAAATCTTTTGGTGATATGATTCATTAATTTTACCACATAAACTCTTTAAAAAAAATTAAATTGGTGCTTCATTGTTTTTAGATTTTAATTACAAAAATTCAATTATGTACATAATTTATTGTGAACCTTAAAACAAGCTGGGTCAGTGGAAAAATGTTTCGTTCATAATCTCGGTTTTATTTTCCATGAAATTCTTTAAATAGCGTATCTTGTGATTTTAAAATTTAATTTCCTGATCAATTTTATGATAAAAAGTTAGCGTCCTATATTTTCACTACGCTATTATTTGTATTAAAACTTCACTTCAGCGGCGCTTTGATTTATTCAGCTATAAAACTGCCGAGCTCTACTGGCCAGCACAGGATGCAGCCAAAGGTTTTTGCTCCTGCTGCAATTTGCATACATAAATCTTTTCATATATTCTTACTCATAGCGCCGATTTAACAGCGGTCCGGAGGGATGTACCATTATCTCAGCAGAGACCAAATGGCCGACAGACGAGTTAAGTGAATAACCCCGGCTTGTATTGATCCTAATGGCCGAGGGATTTGTCCTAATGATCGTGTACGGCGTAATAGAATGATAAAGAGTCGCAAGGACAAAGTTGTTTTCATATAGAGTCTTTTTTGTTGTATTGCGCAACCTGGAATTCTGGCCTAATTTCCGATCCGGCACCAGTAGTGGAGCTGCTTATCTTAAAACCGAGTGAGACAGGATATAAACAAACTGCGGCTGCATTTTATCAGCGAAAAACCTTGTTTCTGAATGTGGGCACTTTGTTGCCACGGTTTCCTCTCGCAACGGAGAGTTTGTGAGAATACGACTTAGTTTGCGCAGCGTTTATCAGATTTTCTCACAAGAAAATGAGAAATGACATGAAAAATAAAAATTTAAGGAACTCGGAAACCTGTAATTAAATAATTCCACTAGTTTGGAAAAAATTAATTCAATAATTAACGAACTGTAAGGATTTTTTTAAATATATGAAAAATAATTAAATTTTTCTTCAAAAAACCTTTTAATTTTCTAATCCAAACTAAAGCATTAAAGTTATTGACTAATGCAAAGTATATCAAAAGATGTTGAAATTTTTTTCCTTGAAATCTAATTTGACACTATTTATCACATTACAAGGAAAAACTTTCAATTTTCCGCTTGTTTCTGTTAAAACGTCCTCCTCTATAAAGTTTAATAAAATCTTTGTGTGCCGTCTGCTCCGGTCGTGTCGTCAGAAGTTTCAACAACAACTCGTGTACACAAAATCTTGCACGCCGCATTGTCATCATTACACGGCACATTTCTTTCTTCTTACTTTTTTCTAAGGCTCGAGCTCACCCATCATCAAAATACTTAACATTCGTGCTTACAAACATTGCATAAAATTCTGATGGAGTAAGCAGCACGAGCGAGCAGGCTTTTCATTTCATGGCACAAGCCGCCTTAATATCCTGTCCAGCGAGTGTTTTTTCGCTTACTCCCTTTCTTGCATCAAAGAAAAAGAAAAAAAAGCGCGGCACCTACACATGGTTGAAAGAATACAAAATTAAAGTTGCGTTAAAAGTTAAAAATCACTTGATGTTATGGGGTGTTTAGGGACAAAATGAAATCCTCCAACTTCAGTATTTACTTTTTTTTCCAACTGTTCAATATTTTATCTATGGGTAGCAACATCACTGAAAATTAAGGAAAGGTCATGTTTTTTGTTAAAATTAAAAAATAACGAATATCATTTAATTTAATTTGGATCTTGCTTATTTAGTCCATCAGACCGTTTTTCCTCAAAGATGCGTTCCAATCTAAAAAAACTCGCTTCGTTAATGGAAATTAATTGAGTAATTTAAATTTTCAATATTGAACTTTAAACTTTAATTAATTCTAATATTTTATTGAATTTATTTTATTTATTTTACTGTATTTGATAAAAAAAAATCTAAAAATAAAAAGCTTTTTAACTGAAAATTGAACTAAACCTTTTCTGCTTCAAATAATAATTGTTTTTTTTCTTATGCTTACCATGTTAACATTTATAACAAAGATCTCACCTTTGATCTGTAATCACATTTAGAAAACCCTTGTTCCAAGACAAGACAAAAACACTGCATTGTTCTCTCTGTTTTTCTCTTGTCGTGAATCGGTCAAAGGTCAAGTTCAAGACGAACGCTCCGTTTTGTACAAAATGACAACACAAGCAGTTGTCTCCGACGCGTGCAATAAATAATCTCATATTATATTTACATATCATCAAAGCAGAGACGATAAGTGCATATAAATTTTCCAATCAGCGCTCGCGTGCAGCAGGTTGCAGAATAGCCTTAATTTAATAACTGCACAGAGTTCACGGGAGCATGAATGAATTGTTAGCTCCATGGTCACCGCAGATTGCTGGTGTGGGGGTTTTTTTTGCGGAGGTGTAAGCACAGAAATGAAAGCGTCATCAAGCGAGGCAATAAATTAATAAAAGGAAAATATACACGGAGCTATAATTGGGTTTGCTTTGCATGAGATAGACGAAATCTCGCGTTCAATAAAATTATCTCT